ATCGTGTAACGTTTAACGTGCAATCAATGAAATTGTGCATTTTAAAAATCAATCATGTTTTAATGTAGAATCGGAATTATTTGCCAGAACTTCAACTTTGTATAAGCCCAAAATATTTGTAAAGGATTATTTGAGTTTTACCGTCTCTGAATAGCAATGCTTATGGATCTTTGCGGTCACTTTTATAAATGCAGCATACTAGAATCTCGTCCCAAGTATCTTCAATATATTATAATTACAAGACATTAAAACAGTCAATTATTGCAGTAATCCTCCAACCATCTATCAATCTGTTCGTTTGGATGAATATACATGTAATATGAAAGTACAATGCGTAATAACTTGAAATAGGTAAAAGGTTCAAATGAAAAGGATTAAAAAGGCGCACTTTGAGGTTTTCAAATCAAAATCATTAGAACCGCCTTCTAAAGGCATCTTTCAAACTTTGCAGCACAGAACAATTTGATGTGGACACCTTTTAAGAACCTCAAAGTGCGCTTTTTTAATCCTTTTCATTTGAACCTTTTACCTATTTCAAGTTATTACGCATTGCACTTTCATATTATACTCATCCAAACGAACAGATTGATAGATGGTTGGAGGATTACTTAAAAGGTGTCCACATCAAATTGTTCTGTGCTGCAAAGTTTGAAAGATGCCTTTAGAGGGCGGTTCTAATGATTTTGATTTGAAAAGTTTGTTAAAAACACGTTCTTAATTTTCTGTTCATTGTTCTTCTTTTCTGAAAGTATTGTCTTCCTGCAAAATTTTATTAAAATAGAAAATATGATGTAAAGACTATTTTTCATAATACCATTTTTTTCTATTTTATTAAAAAATGGGAAGACATGGTCTTGTGGGGGGGGGGGGGGGGGATGGTGACCTTGTATCTTGGGGAGATCTATTCTTGTCATACAGAAGTGCCTTTGTCATTTTGAGAATGCTTCCTTCCTCTCCTCTGAAGACAATATCTCTTCAGTCCTTGATGTTTGGTTTTCTATATCAGTATGCAGAGCCTTCTTCACTTCTCTCTGAATATCACAACACTCCTGTTTATGTAGCTCTTTTAAACTGTTTTACAGATATTGCCTCATTTGTTTATTTCCTTCATTCTTGGTTCATTCAATGTCCATGTTTAAGGCATTTCCAAATCTTTGATTCTTCGCTTCATTATATACATGAATGTAACACTTTTCACTGGTCTCTGTATAAATGTTATAAATCTATCCGTATTCAACTTTGATTGGTGCTCTTTGCTAATCCTATGTTTTGCAGCTCCTCAAATTTTTTTTTCCGTATATACGTTGAATTCATTTCGTTATCTTGATTTCTTTAAAGAACTATATGCGGTATATTGCATATATTTGCCCCCCACAAAAGTCAAATTTTGAAAACTTCCTGAAATGTACTGAATTCAATAAATTGTGTGAGAAATATAAATTAACAGAAAATATTATAGTGTCAAAGCAGTGTATTCACAATTTTTGTTTTTATGACGTCACAAACTAGTCCGATTTTATATCCTTTTTCAGAAAGAGGACAAAATGGACAAAATTTAACAATTTTAGCTTTAAAATTTATAGAGCGCAAGTTTGTTCAGGAACAATATTGACATATTTCATTGATATTATCATTCTACATATTATATCAAAATATTGATCTTGAACACACATGCGCTCGGTGACTTTTACTCAAAATATCGACAAAATATGTACATTTTTCTGTAAAATTTATAAAAAAAAAAAAAAAAAAAACCCTGAAATTTACGTCATATTTGTGACGTCATTACGTACATATGGCGTCATTACTCATGAAAATATTCAGTGCTTTGAAGTCAACATATACTCCCCTGTTTAAGAACTTAATTAAATATATCTCCATCAAAGTTTGATTTGGGGGGCAAATATTGGATATTACCGAATAAAGTTCTTTCCCCTTCAAATTCTTTCATGGTATCTTCTTTTCCATTTGTGCTGCGAATAATGTTGATAGATGTTAGCAGCGGATGGTGGTGACTATCAGCGTTGACTTCACAAGCAGTAAAGAGCGTCTCTTTATTATTTGTGTCAATATAAACTCTTAAATTATAATTTATTAATATTTCGATGGGAAAATGATGATCATCTAATTTTTAATTTTTGTAGTGGTAAAAAAGCTGTAGTTCTTTCTCTGTGCTCATTCAATCATGGTTGTACAATCATGTTTTCCATTGAACTTTTTTCAAATTTCGTTATTTGCTCATACCGGTATTCATATCACCATGATTTTTTTTTCATTTTCATAGCCTGGCCTGGTGTTTTGTCTATTCCCTGATGTAATTGTTCTTCAGATGCATTTTTGACTTCCTAATCCGCGTCGTTACTGGGAGCGGAACGTTGAAACATGGGCAAGACGACTTTGTTGATAGAGAGCTTCTTCATGAATGTTGATCTGGTCCTGACTTCCTTCTCAAACATTTCTTTTGTCAGTTTGGTGTAATGGCTTTTAATATTTCTGGTACCTTGTACAGTGTATCTCCCCATGGCTGCTGTTATTTTTTGGCAAACAATTACGTGTGAATAGTTGCAAAATCCTATTTTGATCTTGGTCCTGGGCGTGGGGAAGGCCTTTCTGTTCATGTTGATAATTTCACAAATATTTTCACTACTAGTACTAGCTGCAATATATAGCCCTCTCCCATTTTTTTTTATTTGGGGGGGGGGGGAGAGGGCTACAACTCCTTAGGATCTCCGTAATGGTGCAATGCGGCAGCGATTCACTCCCGCACGGATTTCGGCTCAAATTGTCAGTAAACGGCTATTTTATTAATATGTCTTACCTGGACTTCCAAAATGTAGTTATCCCAGACATAAATCGATCCAAAAATATACAGAACAATCCATATATCCGTATTTTTCGTGTATGTCAACATCACAACTTAAATTTATCCGCCATGCTTACTGACCTTGACAGATTTTATTTTGGGACAGCCTATGAGATTAAGGATCTATAGGGAGCGAAAAAATAACACATGAAATGATTTTATTTATCGATGTTTAGTGTTACTATTCATCACAATTATTTATAAACATCGACATTTGCTTTACTGAGTTATTCTAAATTTCAAGCGCGAGTCTCGGTACGTCACGCGTGAACTGTCATGGCTGCTGAGTAAGGCACACACTTATTTTACATGGTTTTCGCGTTTAACAGTTTGCGGGAGTGAATCACTGCCGCATTGCACCATTACGGAGATCATAAGGAGTTGTAGCCCTCCCCCCCCCCAAAAAAAAAGGGAGAGGGCTACATTATTGCAGCTACGTCCGAGGTAGCGTAGGGACGTTATCCGAGGCTTCTGGTGAAACCTATAGTAACATAAGTATTACTCCTGGATAACGGAACCATGCAGCATCTGACCCGTATGCTTTAATTATAACTAAATTGAAATATTGACAACCGAAGGATGCTTGTATGTCACTTTCTCTACCATCTCCGCATCTAATGCAGGCAAGAAAACGTACACGTATGGCATTATTCCATACTCATGATACTGACATACAAGCATATGCTGGCTGGTCGGTTGTCATCCGAGGAACTAGCAACAATGCATGTTATTTTAACACGTGATTAGTATTAAAGGATATCCATTTCCTTATACTACATGTAGTTAAAAGATACTGACCCTAAAACGTGCTACAACACCACTTACACGATTCAGTTCGTTTTGAGCTTGCATTATTCGGTTCGTTTTGAGAACATTTTGTGCACCGTACGGTTCGTTTTGTGAACGGTACAATATGCTTCTTGCACGGAACGGTTACTTTCGTTTCTGAGGTATAGTAGCACGTTTTATGGTCTGTTAACATGCATATATAAAGATAACAGTCAATTATTTTTTTTTAAATGCATAATTATCGGATTGTATCGACATAACGTTACATGCTTTTTATACAGCTAGTCTGGCATAGGATTATAACTAGGATTGTTATAAAATATAACTAAGTGTTACCTTTAAATGGATCAATCACAAACAAACAGCGCCATTTTCTTTTATTACGGCGGACTTCCAAGTTCACCTGGTTAAAGGGTCAAGATTGCATAATGCGTTCCATTTAAGAACATTTAAGGGTCAAGATTGCATAATGCGTTCCATTTAAGAACATTTAAGAAGCTGTTCGTTTCCAAGCTTTTCAAACACATATTATTTATGAATTTAAGGATGTACAACACATCCACCCAAAAAACACATTTCGTTTAATTTTTGTCGGTTTATATACATTTTCTGCTAAGATGAGTGTACAAATTTTGGACATAACCGCTGAAGTTGTATTTTGCCAGGAAGTTAAAAAATTATCCGCTTTTTTAATTGCTGTTCACAAGGAGAAGAAATTTTCAATCGGCTGAAAAGGCTTAAGCTAGCCTATAAAATTCTTGATCTTCAAATAAAAAAAACAAACAAAAAAATCATGTTAGCATAGCTTTCACATTACATTGGCACATATGTTTTAACATTAAACACATAAAAAAGTAATTTTTTTAGAAGTACGACGAACTTCACAAACAAATTTGAAGAACATACATGTAAACTATAAAATAAAAATTGTTCATATAAGCCTTGAAATCTTTTAAAATTACTGTTTATTAAAAAACAAACCAAAAAACACAAACAACTATCGCTTAATTTCGGATGAAAAATTCGTCAAGTAGCTGGTTGCAAAGATATTAATCATTATTATTAATTCACACAAGAGCCCCCCCCCCCCCATCTTGTACGAATTTCGCTCTACATTGCTTACATAAAATGGAAACCCTTAAAAAAATGCACCCCTTTGGTTTTATTGACATCACCATGTAAGTTATGATAGACAGTCAGAATAAGAAATCAAATGGCAGACAACAGATAAAACATAGGTAATCAGAGATTACAGAGCTCACCTCAACGAATGCTGTCTTTAAGTAAGGCAAAGTCACACAATTAAGGTATCCGATCCATATTAGCCTCAGATTGAATGGAATTGAATGTATAATGGATATGTATGGGCTGAATAAACAGTGTGGTTAGAACTAATTTTCATCTTTTAGTATCAGAATGTAAGAGTAGGACATGTCCTAATTAATGACCTTTTCCTGCCCTTGACAAATTATCTCCCTTTGATTTTACTCAATAAAAACTAATTTAAAAAAATATCTGTCTGGTAAAAAAATCATTCCTAATTGTTTTTCTATTCCCAATGATCAAATACATCTTTCTACCACAGCATTTTTTGATATCTGAAGTATTTATTTTTTTATCTTAAAAAAACTTACTTCCTTTCCTAGACTTCAATGCAATCTTCAATAATTAATTTCTGCTTAGTAAATAAAATTTTTGAAAATTTCTCTTGGTAAATCCCTTTCTACTCTTAAATGCTTTAAAATATAATTGATATTTAAGGTTAGAAATTTTGGTCCTAATATGGGTCGGATACCTTAACCAAAAAAAAAATGTACAAATGTACATCCAAAAAATGCAAAATTTATGCAATTTTGATCTGATACCTTGGAATAGACCTATATAAAAACTTCAAACTAGTTCTTCATCACGAAAATATTATTAAAATCCAGCATCTGAAGCAATCTAGTTTTAGAGTTTTCATCCCTTGATGGATCATTTGGGCAAGTTTGGTTTATATAAGCCTTATAGTTTCTTGGTAATAGACCTGCACCAATAACTTTTACCTGGTCCATTATCTGGAAAATGTATGTCGAATTCAGCATCCGGAGCAAGTCCATTAGTGTGCATCCTAAGATGTATCATCCATGCGAGTTTGCACAACATAGGGCTGATAGTTACTTAGAAATGAAACCTGCATAAAAATCTAACCTCTTAACTCATCCAGAAAAAAATGTAGGTCAGATTCAGCATCCGAAGCCAGCCTGGTAGAATGCAACCTAAGATGTATCATCCAAGCAAGTTTGGTCATTAAAGAGCTCATGGTTACTTGGAAATGAATCCTGCACCAAAAACTTTAACCTGTTCACTCATCCAGAAAATGCAGGTCAGATTCAGCATCCAAAGCAAGTCTGGTAGTATGCGTCCTAAGATGTATCAATCATCCATGCAAGTTTAGTCATTATAGGGTTCATTGTAACTTGGAAATGAGATTCACTCGTCCGGAAAATGTAGGTCACATTCAGCATCCGAAATAAGTCTGGTAGTATGCATACTAAAATGTACCATCCATGCAAGTTTGGTCATTATAAGGCTCATAGTATCTTGGAAATGAAACCTGCACCAAAAACTTTAACCTGTTCACTCAACCAGAAAATGTAGGTCAGATCCAGCATCCGAAGCAAGCCTGGTAGTTTGCATCCTCAGCTGTATCATTCATGCAAGTTTGGTCAACATAGGGCTTATAGTTACTTGGAAATGAGACCTGCACCAGAAACTCTAATCTGTTCACTCAACCAGAAAATGTAGGTCAGATTCAGCATCCGAAGCAAGCCTGGTAGTGTGCATCCTTAGATGTATCATCCATGCAAGTTTGGTCAACATAGGGCTTATAGTTACTTGGAAATGAGACCTGCACCAGAAACTTTAACCTGTTCACTCAACCGGAAAATGTAGGTCAGATTCAGCATCCGAAGCCAGCCTGGTAGTGTGCATCCTTAGATGTATCATCCGTGCAAGTTTGGTCAACATAGGGCTTATAGTTACATGGAAATGAGACCTGCACCAAAAACTTTAACCTGTTCACTCAACCGGAAAATGTAGGTCAGATTCAGCACCCAAAGCAAGTCTGGTAGTGTGCATCCTTAGATGTATCATTCTTGTAAGCTTGGTCAACATAGGGCTTATTTCCTTAGAAATGAGACCTACACCAAAAACTGCACCAAAAATGTTAACCTGCTCCAAAAACATTAACCTGGCCATTTCCTTTGCTTAAATTGCAGCATCTGAAACTTTGACTGGTACAATGAAACACACTAGAAGCATCTTCCATGATTGTCTATTAATCAATATAGGACATAGAAGTACTTAAAAAGAAAACTGCTCCAAAAAACTTAACCTTAACCTGGGACGCCGACGCCGAGGGTATTACATAAGCTCCCCCAACATCGTTGAGGTGAGCTAAAAAGAAATATTATAGCATAATTGTAAGTAACACAATTTAACATAATTCGTTATAGTCCCTGAATTTGTTTTCTCTGCATAAAGCATATATCTAATTAGTTACATAAAGATATATAGTATTATAATAATCACATGTGATCTTTCATGCTTTTTCAGAGGTAACTTTATTTTAAATCCTGCAATTTTATCATAGAAATAAAGTTTTCCCGAGTAAGAAGATGAAATTTTGTTCAAATATTGAATTGTCATATCAATAAAAGTTTTATTTAACTTAAACCTCAAATCCTTATAAAAAGGAAATATTTAAGTAGGTCAAGATTAGTTTTTGTTGAAGATTGAAAAGCTTGCTTTTTATGAAGTATAACCCTTTTTCAAAGCTAACTCTTCGTCCTCTTCGAAAATTGATACTAAATATAAAATTATTATTATTATGCATTATTATTTTATGTTATGTTTGATTCCATATTCCTTAATCTGTTATTCAAACATGTTTTGATAACATACACGTATAGTAAAGTGGATAAGAACTAATCCAGCATCGACATCTAACTTTGCATATGTATACTTAGAATATCTTCAAGATTCGTGATTTCGAATTTTTTCAAATGGCGGAACACATTCTGGGGATTTAATATCTAACTAAGAGTCTGGGATCAATATTTTATTCATTTGCATAATTATAAAATAAACCAGTAATATGAATATTATGATGCCAATATTGTAGCAGTAAACAATAAATTGTAAGGAATGTGACGTGACATTTTCTCACAGCAGAGAGAGACAGAAAGCAAAATTTAAAAAATGACTGGGTTAAAAATTCATTTCCAGTTTCTAAGTATTGCAGTGAATAAACAAAATCTTTTTAAGTCTCATTTTCCAATAGAAAAACAAAACACTACGATATTTTTCCGATATAATTTTTTTTAGAAACAACTTTTTATAATTAGCCAATCAAAATCTTTGCTTTAAAAACAGAAATATTATATTTATTCAATGTTTTAAATCTGTATTTGAATGTAACTAGAATTAAGAAATGTAAACATTTTTTTAAATGATAAGACAGGCGTTTTACTTTTAATGATGAAAATATTTAGAGAAAAACACTCAATGCACAAAATATGTACACTATTTTGAAACCAAACGCTTATATCATACAGAAGAGATATCATCTATAGATTTTTTTTCCGAACTTAATGCACACAAGCTGCCTTGCTATAGACCTCGTATAGCCTAGAGGAACTTGGCTGGAAACTGAAAATACGAATAACTAAGGAGCGAGTTAATGAAATGGATTAGATCAACTTCCGGTTTTGAAAAGGTTATGTCTTATGATAAACAGATGTTTTTAAAGACAATTTTCTTTGTTAGTTTACCGACAGGAAATTTCTTATAGAAGTGGATTATCGGCAGAAGGTGTACAGAAAGTATTTCTTTGGTCGACGAAACCGAAGATACATTCTTTTGAGGAGAACGAAGGTTTTCGAATTGTGCATGTTAAGACGTTGAAGAAATGGCAAGAAATAACACGTAAGACTGGTCTAGTGAACCAAAATTTACAATAGTGTGCTTACATTTATTATAGATACATTAATATTTTTGAATGTGAGAATGTCGACTACAGTTGACCGAGGCACAGCGATGGACCATAGTCATCTTTTAGAGAAGGAAACGGAAGCGAGGTTGAAATTTGAGAAAGCTTGTCAACAGATCGCACTGTTGGATCAGAAAATCAAAGACTTAGAGGTCAGATACAAACGGGCTGTAAAAAATAAGAAAAACTCTTTCCGCTACAACCTGAGATTGAGACTATCTGTAGTTACAGGAGTTAAAATGATGTATCATCACCATGCCAGCACAAAGGCAGAAGAATTAACAAGAATCAGAAGACAAATTAATAACTCTATACAGAACTCTGAAGCAGGTCGAGACAGAGAATCAAGAGAAAATCTGGACTTTGTTCCTGTACGCTTGAGAATGTCTCGAGATAGAGAGTCTCGATCGAGCCACAGCAGTCACAGTAGTCACAGTCACGCCAGCACATCTGTAGAAGAAGAAGCGTTTGCTCATCACAGCGGCGGATGTTAGTGTACAGTAGTGCTTCATTTTTTAAAACACAAATACTTGTAATACTCTTTGATGGAATTCATTCTATATGAAAATTTTCAAGAAAATTTATTTTTAAAATTATTTGAATGATTAGTGACATAATTATTACCTGTAGTATTTTACATGTATGTAATTTACATGTATGTGCTTGGTATTTTAAGCTGATAATCAACGTGGATAATGTTAAATATATATTTTGTTTATTATCCATAATTGTTGAAATGATTTTGACACCATTGTCAATGTTATTGATTTTGTTTAAATGAATTAAAATTTAAAATATATATGCACGATGTAATTCATTTGTTGTGTTATATAATGCTGTTAAGTGTATTGTATCTTTTTTTTTGTCTCACATTCTTAAATTTTATCTACTGGAGCTAAGATTATTAAAGATTGCCATGTTAGATTTAATTTTAAACAATGATTTTTGTTTATGTATAATAATAGGACAGTAATGGATGATTTTATAATGGATACAAAGAAATAAAATTTCTTAATGCAATGAAAATTTTCAAAGTAAATATACAAGCTTATGATTCTGAGTGGTTATTCAGATGGTTTCTTTTAAAAGTATATGTACCGGTACTAGAAATCAAGTTATCATCCATAATATCCTGTTGCATTTTTAATTTTTTTTTGGTTACATTTTATGGATTGATTTTATGCATTATTTAATGTTTATCCATTCACATATTGTTTTGCATGTTATAAGTTTAGGAATGCACATAACACAAATGGATACTTTTGAATTTTGTAATTCCTTGTTCATACATGTTTATCATTTTTGATCTTCATGATGTATTTAAATATACATACTTTCATATTAATTGATGATTTACATGAAATTTTTAACTCCTCTTTTTATTTTTTTTTTTTTTTTTTTTTTTTTTTTTTTTTTTTTTTTTGACTAAACCCACAAAACATGAAAAATTGATGGATTATTAATTTTAGTTTCATGAATAGAATAAAAATTCAATGAAAGTAATGGATTTTGTTTACAATTATTCTTTACCATTATGGCATTAAGAAATCTTAATGCAGTAAATAATGTATTGAGAAGCATAGCAGAAAAAAATTGAGGTAGTTTTTGAAATTAAGGTACTTGAAAATGGCACTGTGCTTTGAGTGTACTCCTGAGCTATGATATTGTACTGAAAAAAAGACACAGATTTGTGTTTCTGTCACTGAGCTCCTCCAAATGATCTTGAGTCAAAGTCACCTGTGTAATACATGTAACCCTTTAAAGCATCTACAGAATGGCAATAAAGTACATATATAATATGCAATGTAAAAAACTACATGTAATGGAGGAACTAAAATGAGAGAAATATGATACAAGAGGGATGATCAAGGATCAAGAAAAAATTAGTCTGGTACATGTACTGTCAAAGAAACTTAGTAGACCTACTGGTAGTTACATGCCTGCTTGTGTGTACCAGTGCAATATCAACAACTCGATATCGTTGAGGTATACATGTATTATGTTATACAAATGTAAGCCTACTGCAGTCTAACATTGACATTGCTTGGTCTTTGTAAAAATTTAATGTACAAGGTAATCTGCATAGAAATGTTATTTATTAAAAGAAGTAATGCATTTTCACTATATTATCAATGAAGCCCAGTCCTAACACCATTACTTCAACCCAGTGTTTTCCCTTCATTTCAAAGAAAAGGGTTAGAGATCAGTTGTAACAGGTTTGGGGCTGAGATTTATGAACAGATTCTTTGTGGACCATGAAAAAAATTTTATTTCAAAGTGGCATTTTTCTAAAATTGAAGCAGTCAATTTGGCTGGTAGCCGGTTCTTAGGGAAAACCTTGTCAACCCAGAGGCCTTGGTTTGCATGATTGAGCACTTAGTTGTTCTGCTTACTACACAGCAGTAGAGAAGATTTTCCCAACAATTTAATGTATTTTCACAGACCATAAACTAAGAACAGAAATGAGTCAAAATATCTTGAGTTTTAATATAACAACTTCAAATACCTTATGACAAATTCTGTTTCATCATCAACAATAGGCACATGGGCCACATCACTCACCTTAGCACATGGGCTAGGAAAAGCACAAATCAGTTTAGTATTGACAAGTTTACTCCGGCAGGGCGGGAACTTGAATTTTATACAACATGTACAACTTGAGGATACTGAACCTGAGCTGAGTGCCAGGAAAGATAAAAGTCATGTGGAATCATCCTCAGTGTAGATTCAATTGTTCAAATCATAATCCCCCCTCCCTTCTCCGTTTAAGAGGTAGGTCACATTTAAGCTTTTCAATACTAAACTGACTTTGCTTTTTTCCAAGCCACAGTGCTCAGGTGAGCAAAGTGGCCCCTGGGCCTCTTATAACAATCATGCTAGAAGTTTGATTTTGATTGTTTCCAGGAGTAAAGAGCAAAATTATTAAAATAAATTGATTTTAATGGTTCTATCACTACCATACAGACTCAGAGGTGGAAATGGACCATGAAATTCATAATTTTTCTTTTTCTTATCCATAGATGCTAAAATTGATTCATCAGTTCCTGCTATATAATGAAGCTGAATATACATAATTTAAGACCAAAGGATGAAAACAGGTAGCAATGGGTCACGTAAGTGCAGGTGGCCTACAATAATACACTAATCAGAAGAATGTAATCCTTTGTTGGTATTTTAGTACAATTCTTTCAGCAAGATGTGGCATTCTCGACGTTACATATAATTTGCATCTGAAATTTACACAGCTTTCATTCATTGTTGAAGTATACATTGGATAGAAATGCTGGCGAATGTCAATATGTAATAACAGCATCTAGGATGGGAAAGAGGTGGGGCTTAAGTTGTCTCATTGTTGTCGACAACAATTTAAACTTCCTGAAATTATTTATTTTTAAAGCAATGAGAATCTATTTACCATTTGACAGATGCTAATAACGTAGCATCAAGAATGCCACGCCTTACCGAAAGTTCAAAGTTACCTATAAAGAATTGTACTAGTTCTATTCACTTAAATTCCTGTATATTAATGTAAACATTATACCACTGCAAAATATGGCAGATGATCTGTAGAGGCAGCACATACCAATACCATCTCAAAGACTTTGAACTACTTTGTATTATACATGTACATAGAAGCAAAAACTGAAATATTTTGCATGAAAAACATTCCATTTCAAGCTTTGATGTGAACATGATTATTTCAGGAGTTATTTATTCTTGCTGAGAGATGGAGAGCCTTAAGACTTCCAAAAACAGAGTTAAAAGAAAAACAGTCCCTTTACCAGTGCACTTCTTCTGATCTTTGGGAAAAAGGAACACTTTTATAAGAGATATTAACAACTTTATTAACAATGTACAGCTTTGCTAGCCGATTGCAACAATACAAATACCGGGTATAGCATAGGTACTTAGCCAGTTTGGCTCAAATGAAACAAAAGTATAAACATCTACCTAAACTCAAAGTAAAATATTCAAATCTACAAGTTCATCAACAATGGTTCTTCACTGAATAAACAAACTACATTCACATGATATATGTTTGCTTATTTAAATAAATTTAAACATGGCCATATAATGTACTAAATTTCTTCTCTGTTCTGGAAAACAGTCATTTAAACAATAATTCTTACCCTTCCCTACATATATCTTTGTCTCTGATGAATTGGGAAAAAAGGTATTGAAATAAAATTGGATAGATAGTCATGTTCAATACATGGAGCAAAGCCATTACACAGTGTATGAAGCCAATACACGTAACTTTACATATATAGACTTTGTAAAATCTTTACACAAGAGATTCAGCGATTTTTAGGAAAAAAAAAGAAATAACAACCTGTCATCAAAAAGAATACTACTGGGTAAGTCTTTATTATAAAATTCTAATATCTATACAATTAATACCTAAAATATCATGAAACTGTAATGTTCCAACTTTGTTTTTCACCTAACTGACTAGGAAAATAGAGAACTAATGTAAATTTCTTGAATTCAATCTATCTAGCACCAAATAAATGAACATTTTTGTTGATCTCATTATGAGATATAATAAATTCGCCTCTACTACAGAGGGTACTTTGTGTCTTATTTATTTACATAAATGTTGACATATCACAAAAAAACAGCTGAGTAATCTTGTACAACCAACTACAACCTTCAGGTTATTATCAAATATATACATGTACTAATTCAAGTTTGGATAGAGGTCTCTTCACAACACTGATTTTATACTAAGTATTTCACAAATTTGGTCAAAGTAAAACATAATTATCTTCAATGTTTTTGTTGAAGAGAGAAAATTACATTACACTGAAATTAAATCATTTTTGTGAAAAAACTGCGTTAACTAGGTTAGTAACTCATTTTGTTTCTCAGAGATAGGATAAATAAAGGGACTTGAACACACTGATACAGAAATTAAAGCTGTTAAATCAGTAAAATCAATGATTCAATTTCAAGCTTTTGCATAATACCTACATTAAACAATAGATAAATGTACAAGTAATAGAATAATGAGCTTTGAATATAATTTTTTATCTCCATATCAGGACTGCACAGTTTTACAATACATTCAAAACAAATACAGCTGCATATTTACATCAATGTTAATACTTCCTCTCAGACATGAATATGAAAGTTGATTTTTTTTAATGGTACATTTAACATTCAATATGAAATTATCTGCAAATCATTCAGCACGGGCCTGATAGACCAAAGTGTTTTTCTCTTCCTTCTCACACTCATGACTTAACGGTTTTTTTTTTTCTCCCTAACAAGGTATGTACATTAGCTGTTTGGCAGCATACACTTTTCTACAAATCTCTTCACCCCTGCATCATTTTAACTTGTTCATGAATCTTCATGATCATTTTGTCTAGGTGATCCAGTCCATCTTTAAGCATTTGTCTATAAAAGAAATCATTTTTAAACACACCATTTTTTGAACATGTGCATGTACACATTCATATGTACTGAGCATGTACCACTGTTCGCAAGATTTACTTTTTATTCATCAGTATTGCACTTTACACATACATTAATCTTGAGATATTTTTTTTTTAAAATTTATACATTACATTTATTTGTTCAATAGCAAACGAGGGCAGATGTCATCAAAATACCTCTTGCTTTCCATCCCAAATAACGACTGCAAATTAGCCACCTCTAAATTACCATCTTTTGCCTGAAATAATACAATATGCTCACATTAAACTTGTTTCTAAAAGTCTCTGTTAAACTGCCATTTAAGATGTCTGTCTGTTTTATGGCTGATTACACAGTAAACTTGATGATCTTCTCTTAAAAAGGATTTCTTAAATCAATGGCATGGCAACAATCAGATCTTGATTTTTCAAAATTGCAGCAAATGATTTTATTACTTCTGTACCTATTGAATGAACTTTTACCTTCTGGCACATGTTCATAACAAAATAAGACTGAATTTAATGCTATATTATCCAAATCTTTCTAAGACACATGCTTACATTTGCATTTTACATTTTACAATAACCAAATTCCTAGTTGGATTCTATTCAGGTGAAGAAAAAAAATCTTGAAATTGGCAGAAAGATAAGATTTACTGCACATACCTCCACATTTAATCTAATGTAGAAGCTGTTCAGCTGAACACAGAGTCCATGAACAAGAGCTGCTTTATCTAATATATCCTTTGGGCTGAATCTCAAGGCCCTAAAAAGGTTCAAAGAAATATTTCAATGTATTAAATGAAACATTACTTGTATTAAACTATTATCAAAGATCTTGACAATATCATCAAAAGATATGATTTGTTTGCTTAAAATATGTATGTTAAATGCAGGTTACCAATATTCTCTGTCTATATATACAAGGTACAAGTAAGTCGTAAAGTATGAACCTGGCAATCTACACACTCTTTATATACATTTTTTTTTATAAACAGTCGTTAGATGTACAAATTATGAAAAAGTTGCCGATGAAAAAGTGAGAAGAAAAGACAGTATATTTACTTTAGCAAACAATTAACCATAAACTCATTGCAAAGAAAATCTATTTCACTCCATCCCTGAAATTTTATATTTTCCTGATTCCCTTTTTAAGAAAATACACAACTAACTGCTCATATTCATATCGAATTCCATCCAGAGCTGGGACCAACTTCTGAAAAACAATCATCATTTTCTGCAGCTGCTCAGAATTAGTGCTGCCATTCTTTCTCCTGTCATCAATCACCCTCTGAAAATCCTCACTGTAACACAAACATAAAACATGTACATGTAAATGTTCTAAACCACTCTTTTTTTAAGAATAAAAAGAATATTCTTTTAAGTGATTGAAAGGGGTTGGTTGGTTATGTACTTACCAACAGAAATAAACAACATCCCATATGTTGGTCAGTTTAGATTCTACATCTTCTATACTTAAATGTTCTACCCTGTTCTTATTTTTGTCCATACATTCCTGAAAACAGAAAAACAAGCAACTTTACTTTAATACGATAACAATTTTACATAAACCATCTGAAAGATTTTTAGACGGGGTCACGTAACCCCGTCTATTAGTTTACTGTCAGAGCCCTCAGAAAGGAAGCCGTGGTGATAACACATGAATTAAATCTACGCTATATGAAAGAGTGCAGAAATTGTTTTGACCAAAATATAAACATTCTGTATCAAACTGAAGAAAGTGATATGAACTTTTTTCTAAAAGCATTTTGTAAACGTAAACTCAAAATACTAATTATAAAACACACTAGTAAACAATGTAATCTCCTGCGTAGTATTACGTAGTATCAGTTTTGTTTTTAGTTTGTTAATTAAAAAAATTATCAAAACTCGTTTAAAAAAAAAAAAATCGCATTTGTGAAATCTAGCATGAAAATTATTTTGACCCCGTCTTTCAGTACTGTCTCAGTACTTTGATTTTTTCTATGTCACTTTAAATATATTATTTGCATGATATACACTTATTTCATATTTGAAATAATTTTAAAAATTCCAGTGTGAGGCATTTGCCAAGTATCTAATTAAAGTTTAAAAATCTAAAATAAAAGAATGTACGGTAACTGGGTCAAGCATGACGTAAAAGTGTGCAAAATCCTTTATTTATTTTATGTATATTATTTGTGATGTAGTTAAAATATTTAAATTATTTTGAATAATCCAGAGTGGGGCATGTATTTTTAAAAAAAAAACAAAAATAATACATCTGTAATAAAAAAAAAAATAAATAAATATTAAAAGGAATGTAAAGGGGACATAACTTGTTGAAAGCATGCAAAATGTATTAAACCATCAAATATGACCTATACTGGCCATATACCTTTTTTCGTAGTATATGTACTAAATAAGACTTCCATCTTTGTTTGTATAGATTTCAGCTCACCTTATTCTTTGAATCAGCCATTAATTGCTTCCCAGACAAATAAGCCTCCAGACTGCTGACATTGACATTCCCAGCCTTGAGGTCATGACACAGCTGCTCACATTTCTTCATCCCTGACAACGCCTCACCAATGGAGGTGTCATCTCTAAACAGTAATAGCAATCATATTAATGTTTAATAAATTTATATAAAATATAGTAACAAATTTTGTTTTCTATTACAATACACACTAATGCAACTCATCATATTAAAGCATTTACATTATATTTCATTAAAATCAAAACATGTTGCAGCAAGATCGTTTATGAGATAAACATCAACAGTAAAAAAAAAAAAAATATTAATCATTAGAAGAAAAATTTACCAATTTATTTGAGAGAGAGAGAGAGCAACATCTCAAAAGAGCAATACAATGACAACGAAATCTTACTTTCTGTGTTTGTAACATTCCTCCAACAATTCTAGACAGTCATTCAACAGGTACCGGTAAATCTCTAAACTCAGATGGAAATCTGTTCAAAAATATTCTTGACAGTATATAATAGTGAAACTCTTACACACGAATTTCACATCCAAGGAAAACTGTTGGTGTAATTAAATGCATAATGATAACATTTTACAAATGAGAAAATCGGTGATCAGAAATGCTCATTTGAGCTTCCAGCACATGTAAGCTTGAAAACTGAATATATTTACATATAACTCAGTTCTGTTAACTTACGTGCATTGATCTTAAATCTGGCCAATAGTCTGTCCACTACTGTACTTAAATCTCTTCTGTAAATCTGTCCAAATACTGCGATCCAGTGTCTAAAAGATAAAAAACAAAATCTTATATAATCTAATGGCCAACTTATTAAAAAACATAGGTAATCAAAGATTACCAAGCTCACCTCGACGAATGTTATCAGTGTAACTAATGCAAATCTCACAACATATTTTCTTAATTTTTAGTATTTATCCCAACAACAATATTCTTGCAAGTTGTGTTTAACCCCTTACATGGCATATACACATTTCTACTCGTGTAGCATGAAAAACATGTACAGTGTAAACAAATATTCATAACTTTGTTAATGCTGCAGATATCAAGGACTTCAAGTTAATTGGGATTGATCTGTTCCCAAAACTTTAACCTGGTCTCTTGTATGGAAAATATAGGTCAGACCCAGCATCCGAAGCAAGTCTGGTAGTGTCCATCCCTAGATGCATCATCCATGCAAGTTTGATTCAGGTAGGGCTTTTAGTTACTTGGGAATGGAAATATAGGTCAGACCCAGCATCCGAAGCAAGTCTGGTAGTGTCCATCCCTAGATGCATCATCCATACAAGTTTGATTCAGGTAGGGCTCTTAGTTACTTGGGAATGGAAATATAGGTCAGACCCAGCATCCGAAGCAAGTCTGGTAGTGTCCATCCCTAGATGCATCATTCATGCAAGTTTGGTTCAGGTAGGGCTTATAGTTACTTGGGAATGAAAATGTAGGTCAGATCCAGCATCCAAAGCAAGTCTGGTAGTGTCCATCCCTAGATGCATCATCCATGCAAGTTTGGTTCTTGGGGGTAGGTCTCCATGCAAGTTTGCAAGTTCTAGTTACTTGGGAATGGAAATATAGTGTCCATCCAAGTCTGGTCCATCCCTAGATACTTGGGAATGAAAATGTTGGTAAGATCCAGCATCCAAAGCAATTCTGGTAGTGTCCATCCCTAGATGCATCATCCATGCAAGTTTGGTCCAAGACAGGGCTTATAGTTCCTTTGGAATGGACCTGCTCCAAAAACTTTAACCTGGTCACTCCTCTGGAAAATGTAGGTCAGATCCAGTACCCGAAGCGAGTCTGGTAGTGTACATCCCTAGATGCATCATCCATGCAAGTTTGGTCCATGACAGGGCTTATAGTTCCTTTGGAATGGACCTGCTCCAAAAACTTTAACCTGGTCACTCATCTGAAAAATGTAGGTCAGATCCAGCATCCGAAGCAAGTCTGGTAGTGTCCATCCCTAGATGCATCATCCATGCAAGTTTGGTCCAGATAGGGCTTATAGTTCCTTCTGAATGGACCTGCTCCAAAAACTTTAACCTGGTCACTCATCTAGAAAATGTAGGTCAGATCCAGCATCCAAAGCAAGTCTGGTAGTGTACATCCCTAGATGCATCATCCATGCAAGTTTGGTTCAGGTAGGGCTTATAGTTACTTGGGAATGGACTTGCTCCTAAAACTTTAACCTGGGACGCGGACTCCAACGCCGGGGGTATAGCATAAGCTCATCTCGACTTCGTCGAGGTGAGCTAAAAATTCATTGGTGATACTGTATTAACCAAACATATATCATTATTATTTTTTTTAGTATTATTCAAGTAAATGTGCTGATATTTTTTAAGAAAAAGTACATGCACACCTTGCTAAATTATAAAAGAACACATTTAATTTGGTGATACTGTAAAAAAAATTTACTTTTTGAAGCACTCAAGTAGGTCTGAGAGGGTCCAAGGTGGCTTCCTGAACACAATCTCTAACCTACAACAAATAGTTCCGTTATTAATACATGGAAAATTAACAGAGTGTGGTAAAATGTATGTAACATATACAGTCAAACCTTGTTATCTCAAATTCGATAAGACTGAAAAAGTTTCTGAGAACATTTACAGAAAAAATTGCCCAGAAAAAGGAAGCAATACAAGAGGCCCAAGGGCCACATCGCTCACCTGAGCAATTGGCTAGAAAAAAGCACATATCAGATCAGAACTGAAAGTTTACTAAGGGCAGGGAATTAACCCCCCAGGGATCATGATTTGAACAAATTAGAATTTACAAAAAGTAAATATCACTAAGCATGGCTTTGAAACGTGAAAAGAAGATTTTAAAGGGTTTCCCTATATATTCCTATTAAAAAAAATTTGGCCCCACCCTACCCCCGGGGGTCATGATTTAAAGAAAATTCAATCTACAAAGGATGATTCCACAAGAGTTTCATCTTTCCTGTCTCAATAGTTCTTGAGAAGAAGATTTTTCCTATATATTCCTATGTAAAAATTTGATCGGCCATTTTGGCCCCACCCTACCCCCGGGGGTCATGATTTGAACAATCTTGAATCTAAACTACCTGAGGATGATTCCATATGAGTTTCATCTTTCCTGGCCAAGTGGTTCTTGAGGAGAAGATTTTTAAAGATTTTTCCTATATATTCCTATGTTACATTTGATCGGCCATTTTGGCCCCACCCTACCCCCGGGGGTCATGATTTGAACAAACTTGAGTTTACACTACCTGAGGATGATTCCACATGAGTTTCATCTTTCCTGGCCAAGTGGAGCTTGAGAAGAAGATTTTTAAAGATCGGCCATTTTCGCCCCACCCTACCCCCTGGGGTCATGATTTGAACAATCTTGAATCTACACTACCTGACCATGCGTCCATATGTATCTCATCTTTCCTGGCCAAGTGGTTCTTGAGATGAAGATTTTTAAAGAATTTTCCTATATATTCCTATGTTCGGCCATTTTGGCCCCGCCCTACCCCTGGGGGTCATGATTTGAACAAACTTGAATTTACACAAATCCATATAAATATGATCAATTATGGCTTTGCTCAGAAGATTTTTAAAGAATTTTCTATATATTTCACATAAAACTGGACAAAGCATTTTGGCCCCGCCCTATTTGGGGTCATGATTTGAACAAACTTGAATCTACACTACCTGAGGATGCTTCCACATAAATATGATCAATTATGGCTTTGCTATTCCTGAGAAGAAGATTTTTAAAGAATTTTCCTATATATTTCTATGTAAAACTTTGGTCGGCCATATACAAACTTGAATCTACATTACCTAAGGATGCTTCCATATGAATATGATCAATCATGGCTTTGTTATTCTTGAGAAGAAGAATTTTAAAAGAATTTTCCTATACATTTCTATGTAAAACTTTGGCTGGCCATTGTGGTCCCGCCCAACCCCCGGGGTCATGATTTGAACAAAATTGAATCTACACTACCTGAGGATGATTCCCCATAAGTTTCATCTTTCATGGCACAGTGGTTCTTGGGAAGAAGATTTTTAAATCATGCCACCAAATTTTATTAATTCCCCAACTTGAAACCCAAGGATACTTTGTGGAATTGGCCCATTGGTTGAAGAAGTCTATGAAAAGTTTACAGACAGACGGACAAAATTTCAGAAAAGCTAACTTGAGCCTTTGGCTCAGGTGAGCTAAAAAACAAAGTAAAAACCAAAACTCAAATATCAGTTTTTCAGACATCTTGACTTACCAAATATCATCATATGCTGCTTTCATTTCACATTCTAAGACACTGGACAAAGCATTCTTCAGCCACATTTTCAATTTGCAGAGCATCTCATCTAACTGAAATGGCAATAATATTCATGCAGTATTATCAAATACTTTTTATATAAAAGTGAATAAGAATTGTATAGGTCCCTTTTAAATACTGTAAACCAACTTTAAATTGCGATGACTATATTTTTAAATTTGCTGGGGTAAACTAGTTCGCAACCATTAATTTTTGTAATCAAACCTTTTTTGCAATGACAAGGCTCTCGCAAAAATCGCCAAAATTTCTTGGACACGAATTAAAATTGGTTTACAGTAACAAATTCATTTCACTGCTCAGAGCATTTCCACTGTTCAGTGCATTTCCACCATTCAGTGCAAACAAATATGCATGAAATTTTAAACAGTCAACAACTACACTTCATCGCTTAAAACTGATCAACTGTTGCTTAACTGTAGAACTAGAAAATCACAAACTGATTATGTGAAAGAGTAATGAAATAATGAATCTATAAACAAAGATTTGTAATCTCATATAAAGATGACCATTTAAAACAGAGTCAGACTCCAACTGACCAAAGCCCATTGAGGGGTCAGTATGTGGAGTAGTGACTTACCAACTGATCAAGGCCCATTGAGGGGTCAGTATGTGGAGTAGTGACTTAACAACTGATTGACGCCCATTGAGGGGTCAGTATGTGGAGTAGTGACTTAACAACTGACTGAGGCCCATTGAGGGGTCAGTATGTGGAGTAGTGACTTACCAAATGACTGAGGCCCATTGAGGGGTCAGTATGTGGAGTAGTGACTTACCAAATGACTGAGGCCCATTGAGGGGTCAGTATGTGGAGTAATAACTTACCAACTGACTGAGGCCAACTAAGGATCAGTATCTGGAGTAGTGACTTACCAACTGACTGAGGCCCATTGAGGGGTCAGTATGTGGAGTAGTGACTTAACAACTGACTGAGGCCCATTGAGGGGTCAGTATGTGGAGTAGTAACTTACCAACTGACAGAGGCCTATTGAGGTGTCAGTATGTGGAGTAGTGACTTACCAACTGACTGAGGTCTTCTGAGGGGACAGAGGGAGACATGGCATTTGATTTGGACGGTTTCTGTTTGGATTCACTGGGGACCAATGATGGGTAATTTTCTGAAAAAAAGGATAACAAAACCTTAACAAAAAACTTCAGCTCCATGCAAAATACTATAATCACTACATTTTCGCAACACCTTATTTTCACAAGGTAGCCATTAAATCTTTATTAACAAGACAATTTTTTCTGGAATTGTGGTTTTTGCTCCAAATAATCTCATGGAATACTTATATACCTGAGAATGAAATTTTTGCAGTCACACTGTCTCACATAATAATGTGAAAATAAAGTTCTCGAAACTACAGAGAGGTAATGTTTTCTGTATATGGAAGTGATTATTAAATGCAATGTAAATGTAATGTACACTTAATCCATTTATACCAATATTTTTACTTATTAGACTTTTATATAAATCAATGCCCATTCAATGTTGCATTTCTTTATACTTGTACATGTATTTTCTAACATTAATATTTGTATTTTTTTCTTTAAAACTTAAGGATTTATAAAATCTTACCATTTCCTATTTTGTTGGGACAATGGGGTTGAAGAGATTTTACTCCATTCATTAATAGCTAAAAAGAGAGATCTTATTATCAACATAGGTACCACCCTTAATACGGCTAATGAAATAAATCTATTTCATAGCATTCAATCAAATACTGAAAAAAATCTGTATATTTAATGGAAAACATTAGATACATATCAGGTGTTTAATAATTTGTAATCACTTTTATTCATGGCAATAACTTTCCTTAAAGTAAATGATTGTACCGACAATACAAATTGCCAATATATTTTGAGTGTGTCTTTTAGTAAAACAGAAAGATGAAAGACATTAATTAAAATTATAAATACATAATGTCACCCTATGATTGTAGCAAAGGAATAAGAGCAAATTTACATCTATTAACAGGTATGCTTTTTATTAAATTCAAATGTGTAGCTGTACTTACAAAACTGTCAAATGCTGGAATTTTATTAATTCTGGCCTTACTAAGGAGGTTTTTATCATTACTTAACAGTATCACAGTTGAGTTCATTCCTGCAACAGAAATTATTCACAATCACAATTTAATTAAGTCTATCAATGCTTTCCCTTTTCATGATAGAAACAGCAAGAAAGGAAATTCAGCTATTCATTTTCACTTTCAATGTTCAATTGTGACTATGTACATGTATAAGTAGATGTACATATTTAAAAGTTCTTCTTGTCTTTATACACTTTTAAATTGCCAGCATGGGTCTGCAGAAGGGTAGGGTTAATGGGATAAAAATACATACATGTATGTACACATAACTTGTAACAGAAAAAAATCACAGACAGTTGGATGGACAGACAGTAAGACAGATTGATTACTATATATATCACCTACAAATTCTTGTGGGGCCCCAATTACATTGTGAAAAAGTAAAAGATGCTTCAACAAATACTTACGTTTTTTTTGACACTGCAAGCAGGTTTGTAGAATTCTATCATCATTGCACTCAGCCTGGAATTCTTTAGAGGCATCTGATGCCTGAAAAAGAAAATTTTATTTGTAACTGAAAACCAAAAAGTTTCAGAAATATATTCAATTTATTTGTAATTGAAAATGGATATCTGCATCTGTCTAGCTACTGATGTTTTACTGTACCTGTGTTGCACTTTGACCAATCACTCGCTGATGGTTGTCCATGAAACATTGATAGATATAGTGTACAGCTGCTCTGGCACATTTACCAATCTTCATGGACTTAAAAAAAAAATGGAAAATTACATTTGGTTTCCACATAGTCTTAAAAATTAATTTTCTATGATTTTTTTTTTTTTCGCCAAAAATACAACTATTAAAACAAAGTAAAGTCACAGGCAAAATCCGCTCAATCTTACACAAGACAGACATTTTAAACTTCATTTTACCATAGTGGCAGCAGATGACTTGTTTGATTTCAGTGCATCCAATTCCTGCATCACCACCCACGGAATGACTAGATTAGGAAGCCCAAATTCTAGTAGGACAAATAAAATGTTAATTCTATGTCTCCTTAAGCCAATGAGGTATAATCAGTAACCTTTTAATTAGCATTTTTTAAGGATAAAATCAGTTGTCAAATTATTAAATTATACTGACAAACATCACATCTACATGATCAGTATTTGTTAATTTCATTTAAATATGTAGATGAACTCAGGTGAAAACAACATGTAAATACTTTAAAATTTCAAAAACAACATCTAACTGGTAGTACAAGTATTAGCCTTTTATAACTCTAAATGAAGAAACTGGTCACTTACTTTCAAAGCAGTGGTCTCGAAGGTCTTGTACAAAAGCCAAGTTACTTATGAACACATTGGTGTCAACAACTATGTGTAAACCCTGAAAATACAAATCCCACAATTAGAAAGAACTGCAACTGGCTGGCGACCAACTCTATACAGTGTCCACATAAATGAACTTAAAACTTCAATTTTTAAACGATATTCTCTATTTCTTTCTCAGATAAAACTACTCATACATAAGAGAAAAGAATTTTCTTGATTCAATCATGAATTTCCCTTTCTATACATATTGACAATTTATGTATATCCATCTAATCAATATGGAAATTTCCAACTAGACAGTTATCTCTAAAATTATGAAGTGATGACATGATGAAAAATAACTCAAACATTATTATTTAAATTGTAATGGAAGCATCTGTGTTACCTAGGACTACAATTTTTAAAAAAAAGAAGAATATTTTGACTCCTTAAGTATAACTTACATGGTCTACACTGTGGATATGCCCTGGTTGGCCTGAGGTGAAAACTTGTGTCAGTGTTCCTATCACTTCACTTGGATACTTCTTCACAGATTCCCGGACTTCTTTCAGCTGAAATATTGAAAAATAACTTTTGGCTCAATTTCAAAGGTTTATCATTTTATACAATATTATACAAATTACAAAACAGTTGAAAAAGAAATCTTTTTTTCTTCGGGGCCAATAACATATTTTTCCAGAATAACCAGCTATACCTGATACATACAGTTATGTAATTGCTTATCATTTGGTATTTTGTTACCCTTTTATATTCATCTCTTGAAGACAACTTGAGCAAACAACTAGTAGTGGGATAGGAAAATGTCTACTGAGATATCATTTGATTGTTGATAAAAGTATTTAAAACTCAATTTCATGATATTAACACACATGAAAATTTTCAAAGACTAAACAGTCTATACCACTATATCAGATACATCCATCTCCTCGATCTCTCTGTCATCCTCTCTAGAGAGCACCTGCTGGACTTCATCAATCTCCATACTGATCTCCTCTCGCCGCTTCTGGTTGATGGGAACAGGAGTTTCATGGACACCTGGGGTAATATAAAATAAAATACTTATCTAAATGACACTAGCTAAAAGTTTCTCTGCCACTATCTTCCATAAAATGCATTTTAAGTCTGATGTAGAAATGGAACATCTTTAAAAAATTTATAACATAATTAAATGACATTCAACAATGATGTGTACTAACCTTTCCATGGATTGACAACAGCTTTCTTCACAGGACCATCATTTTTGATTGTCAGAGTGATATTGCTGAGATTACTTGTATCACCCACAGACAAAAACCCACTGTCATGTGACTGAACCAGCACTTTACGATTGTCATTCTCCAGACTGAAAGTTCCAGAGTCTGGTGAACCTTGATACAAAGTTGGATCCAGGAAGTCACCCAGAGGATCTGATGGAGGGTCATCCGACTCTAAATGATTGATCCATGACTGAATATCCTCCCTTTTCTTAGGGTCATTTAGCAGTAAATTATCTGGAGATGATTCTCTTGGTGAGAGATTACATGTGTCAAAAGCTGAAGGAGGAGATCTTTTCACAACTTTTCTGGTATCGCAGAAATTCCATTCTTCTACACCATCAGCTTTCAATCTTTTGTTGGTAAGTTTATTATCTTGAGATAAAGACTCTGCACTTCTCTTCAATGTCATTTTTTCAGATGAAGCCTTTTGTGATGAAAGTTTAATGACCTTTTTGTGTGGAATATTCTCAGAATTAACAGAATTTTTATCAAAGGTAATCTTTTTTGTTGGTGCCTTATTATGCTGTGATTGTTCATTTGTGGCAATAGGAGGTCTGCTACTCTTTCCTTTCACAATTTTGCTGGAATCTTGTTGAACAGATTTAGGATGTACTGAATTTGAAGGATGTAAAGGTTTATCTAATGCTGGTTGTGATTTAACTTTGCACTGATCTTTCTGTTGCTGGACGGACACTGGATTAGATTTGACCTGCTGATTTACAATGCCCAAGGAGTTACTTTGTGTGGTAGTACCTGAATGCAGGTTAGCCGAATTATAAGTTCCTGAAGGAAAGGCATTACTAGCACCAGAATCTGTTCCATCATGTGACAGCTCTAGATCTAAGCTGTCATTCTCATCACTGTCCTGGGCTGGTGAAAACTGGGCTTCCTGATAATTGGACCGAGGCAATATGGGCCCTGTTGTAGTCTCTACTTTCCTACTACCACCCATTGCATGTTTATTTGATGACTTGCTCTCTGATGATTTCTGAAATGTTTATAACTATCCATATCAATCTGTGATGTTTATTATACGAATTAAATAAAAGAAATTCCATGTATATTTTCTATGATGTTAGTTTGAGTGAATAATCAGAAAAAAATTCAAGCATATTTGTTAGTGTGACTTTTTTTTTTTAGCAAACAGTGACAGTGAAATTGCTTGAATTGATATATATTTTGTACACAAGTACTTACTAGATAAGGTTTGAGAAGTTCAGGGACCTCCCAGGTAGACACTCCCGTTAATGTATTGAAATAATAGACCTTGTCTGGATAAGTCTTGGATTGTTTAACCACCCAACCATTCGGCAATTCCTGTTTTTCATGTTTTTTATAGCTCATTTTACATAGCTGTCAAAAAGTTGATCTGAAAAACACAAAGATTGATCATCACTGACTAGTAATAAATACTCTGTGTGTACTTAAAATAGCGGACTTCATATTCTGGCGGCTTTGGCGCAGACAATGATGCACTAATTCATGAATACCGCAAAGAAATAATTTATATAAGTAGAATATACAGCACAAATGTGTAGCGCTAATTTATGATTACGTCATCAATTCCATATCCATTGATTGCGCTAAATTTTGAATATACGTACAGTATATTTTTCTCAAGGATACATATCACTGTGAACCTATAATTCTATTGTGTTCTTAATTTAATTGTTTTCCCAGTCGCAAAAATAAATAGTTGTGGATGATTTCAGAAAGACAATTATAATAGGGAATAAAAGATGTCAAAAAAACATAGCATTAGGCAATCAGAGATTACAGAGCTCACCATGCATGGGCAGGATATGTTGATTGTTGAAGATTAAAATTTGCATGGGGAATCTTTTATACAATCCATGTAATACATGTACCTCAGTGCCTACAACATTACAGAGATGACATCTTCATTGTGGGATCAAGGTGAAATAGTAAATACTGGGTTTTTTTTAGTCCAACAATGACTTCTGACATCATTTATTGACATCCCATGGCTCCTAGCTTGATCATTTGTCAAAATTGTTAAATACATAAATACGCATTCATCACTGAAAATTTTTAATGGTATTTTTTTTTAAATTGTCTGCAAAGTAAAACTAAAGGAATAAAGAACTGGCCAGGGTTATCTTTCTTACTTAATTGATTGCAAATAAATAATGCAATTATTAGTAAGTTACAATATCTGAGCTTCTGTCATGCAAGCATACGGTGTATTCAATGGTTCCATAGAACATAGACTATGCCATAAAAATGATACCCACTCTAGTTGTGCAAAACTCCAACAGCCAGCAGGTGGCTTCTGGTTTGCATGTTTTTTTCTCAGACAGTACCGGAAACTGACTCCATAGTCGCAAAAGAGTAAAATAGTCAGACTTGTTACTTAGCCTAAAAATTATATAAATATGCTATAATTTTTAATACAATCATATATGTATATTTGCATAGTTTGTCATGAATGCTTTTCTTTCTAAAGTGAAAATTACGACATAAACAACAATTTTTTATGAACCCGATGTGTAAAGTAATCATCCAATCGAAGAAAAGAATGTGTGACATTATCAAATAACAATATTAAAAATCAAAAGAATAAATTTATTAGGGTAAATTAATTTATTTAGATTTGACGATCTGATTAGATTATATTTTTTTAAAAAAAGAGAATTCGTCGGGATCAAAATTTCCTACTTTACACGTTCTACTTCCGGTTTATTTGTTTGGATTGCTGTGAGAGAATTAAAATTGTAAAAATCTGGACTTCTTCAAACTAAAATGAAATTCTACGGGTAGTGCAAAGTTTTCTGCATGGTTAACAATGATTGAGGGAACAACCCGTGAAAACCAGCTATCAATTAACCTTGGGTTTGATGATTACAGCAATGGAAAAGACTACAAAAAGAGACAGTCAGTTTTCAGGGTAGGTAACCATTCAGTTACTGAGTTAGGGGACAGTTCTTGATGTTTGTCGATGTACTACAATTATGTGACAGTAAATGCACATAATAGATCTACACTCTATTTATTTTAATGAAAGTATATAGTCTGTCACATCCATTACATTTAGCTTTCAGGGCCTAGGAACAGAGGCGTTTGTTTCATACAGTAAGCTTAGTTTTCTACTATATAATAACACAAGGTATCCATCTTTCTGGAGACCAAAAATGTAGGTCACCAATTCAAACCCCTTTTTTATTTATTATCCGCAACTGGCCACAGAAACCCCACATGTAATTAATAATTCACTTCTTGGACTTGGCCCCATATATACTTACCTCACCCCCTTGCAAACTTTGACACTGGCCATAAAATTACATTTAAGTCATTTAAAAGAAAAAGTAATATCTAAACAGCTCATCACTTCCGGCTTGGCAACTGCGATATAATACACAAGATCTCATTGGCTACTGGTACATTTTGCACTAGTGTAGAGAGGATCCTTAGCAAAATAATTTTGCATAAAATAACTATTAAATCATCTTAAAAATTACCCAAACGTTGTCATCTTACAAAATATTTGTCAGAAACTTAGAACAATATCGATTTTCAAATTTGCACCAAAATAATATTTCGGGTTTCTCTTGTGTCTTATACAGTTGCATGGAAAACTCCTGAGAGTACAGTAGCCAATGAGATCTTGTGTATTTATATCGATATATTGCCAAACTGGAAGTGTAAATAAAATGTTGTTAAAAGTTAGCACTTTCATGCCTTGGTTTGGTAATGAAACGTGTAATTTTATGGCCAGTGTCAAAGTTCGCGAGGGGGTGAGGTAAGGAAATATACATGGGGTCCAAGAAGGGGGATTCTGCTAACCTTTACATGTGGGGTTTCTGTGGCCAGCTGTGGATAATAAATAAAAAAGGGGTTTGAATTTTTAAATCATTTTTTTAAAGAATAATTAACAATAAGGTTTGTGTTATTATATTGTTAGAAATCTAAGCTTAAATCAATATGAAAAAGCATATTTTGCATATAGGGGTTGTGATATGTGCTTATGACACAATATCTAGTCAATAAAAATTTTGATTTGACCTCTCTACACAGAGACATCAGACCAAAACTTTTAGACTGTACAAATCTCTCTTAGATCAAAATAAGTTCATTGTCAAAAAAAAGGCAATATGCATTAGTGGTGTGTTGCACTATGTGGCAAATCACAGAATATTCCGAAAAAATACAAGCACATATGACTTTCTTGTTTCTAAATTTGCTGCCAGTACATAAAAAATGATTCAATTTATGTCAATAAGAATATTACTGGATGTTAATTAATTTGAATGATGGCACATACAGGGATCGACACTAACTTTTAAACCATAGTTGTCAGCAGGGCTAACCATTTTGAATTTCTACTAGCCCTGTTCATGTATTAGTTGTCCAGCAGCTGAAGGCTGGTGGCCGAGGCACGAAGCGATGAGGGGGGTAGGTGCGGGAGGGGGTTTGCTCCTGCATGTGGCTAATCACACAATAATCGAAAATTTTGAAAATAGAGATGCCAAATCCTGCATTCTGTCTGTATTTTGGGTAGAAATTATATGCCACTCTATGACTGTACCTTAGACATTCTTCTATTCGAATCCAAATTTAACATATATAATCATTTAGGGTATTTTCACCTTTAAATTTTACAATTTTGACATACAAAAAAAATAATTATAAACGTTTGAAAATAGATTTAATAATTATTAGATACATTGTATGTCATTGATAATTATTTTTGTTGCTCTGGGTGAGTATTTAGTAAAATTCTTAGTAGCCCTGCAGGGCAAGTTTAAAGGCATGTTTGGTAGCCCAACCTCAATATTCAGTTGTCCCGGGCTAGCGGGCTACCGTTAGTGTCGAACCCTGACATATCAGTGGTATAATGGGAAAAGAATGCAAAATCTTGATTGTGATATGTTTTTCTTTTTAAGGTATGGAAAAGACTGTCTAGTTTACAGAGAAGTGTGATTTGTTTTGTTTTACTATTGGGAGGAATCAGTATTATATACATAGTGTCATCAGTAAGAAAAGGTCATAGAGGTAGTTATGGAGGACCAAGTGAACTCAGTGATTTTCTGGACTCAAAAGAGAGACAGCAGATGGAGCAAGAGAAGCGAGAATACATACAGAAAATGAAACGGAGACATGCTGCCGAGCAAGTTAATCAAATAGTGGTAAGTTTGGAAAATGGTCAATACATGAACGTCCTTAAATATCAAATAGCTGCAAATTTTGATTATGCAAATAGGATAGAGTGAGCATAGGAAAAATTTCAAAGCAGAGTGAAAAGAAAAAATGTTTAAAATGTGATGAAATCATCCACGTATATAAATATGTCTTATTTTTAATGAAGAAATTGTTTGATTCAACACAGAAAAAGAACCAGGAAAATATCAGGATTAAGAAAGGACCACCCTCAAGAAAGAAATCCGAGAAAGAAGACAAGGGACTGGACAGAGTACAGCTTCCTCCTTACGAAAAAGAGGGACAATTGGTAAGGGACGAGCGATTTCCCCATGGGAACGAGGATGAAGATAATGACAGAGACGACAATGTTGATGGACATTTAGTAAGGGAGACAAATAGCTGCTGCTTGTTTTGAATGACATTCCAAAAATGTAGCAGTCAAAGCTTCTCTGGTGTTATCATGATTTACAGTATGCTATACATGTATATAGGCATATGGGAATTAATATCGTATGTCCGCTTTATTCATATGGCTCAATTTAAATTATTTTAACATTTACATCATATGATCAAACCAATACATGTATATTAGAAAGGGAAAAAAGCTGCAATATTTAGAAATACAAAGATTATTTATCAAAAAATTTATCATTTGTTGTTGCCAATACATCTAAAATATGCTGTTATAGTGTTAGCTTTCTCTGACAACATTGTAAATAATTCATATCTGAATAGAAGTACCGGTAATATCATCAGTATTTTAAATTATTTGTAGAATTTACCTCCAAAGACAGCAGGTGATGATTTTGTGGACCAAGCAAGTGATGGGCCTTATGACTATTTTGATCGTAAGTCCATTCCAGTTCTTACTTATTTAACCTTTTGCGTTTGATAATGTTATAAGTATTTAATATGCTCTTGGGTACATTCACAACAGCCTTTCAAGAAATATTGTGATTTGTCTCAAAATCAGCATGGCTAAATTAAAAAAAAAATCATCAATATGTACATATTTAGACTTTCAGATATTAGAGTTTGAGACATTAAGTAATAATACAGAATGATCAAAGATTTACTTCAACATACATATAGAATTGATATCTAACTTCATGTGATTCAAGGTTCCAAGATTCTACTAAATGAATCTTATACTTATAAATACATGTACATCTAATTCTTCATTGTAGCAAAGAGACAGTTTTCAGAAAAGCAGAAAGCAATTCAAGATGCCTTTAAGTTTGCCTGGAAGGGATATAAACAGCATGCCTGGGGCCATGATGAATATCATCCAATCAGTAAGAGCCACTCTGAGTGGTTTGGAGTGGGTCTGACTATCGTAGATTCTGTTGATACAGCCATTATCATGGGACTTAAAGATGGTAAAACATTCATGCTTTGTTTTGAACATTGACAGAATATTCATGTACATCCAGCTAAATATGTGTTAACTTGATTCTTAGTTAAAGATAACAAAATCTGTGTTAGAGAAAAATGGTACAGACTTGAATTCCATTTTAATTAGAGACTGCAAAATTAGATGAATTAATTTTTTTTCCGGTTGCAGAAGTTATTTCCTCATAAGTATATAAGCATAATACAGAAAACATTTGAGGAACACAAAAAAGATGTGCCATTATTGGTTGAAATTTTTCATTACAGAATATTTGGAGGCTAGAGAATGGGTTGACAAGTCCTTGACCTTTGACAAGGATAAAGATGTCAACTTGTTTGAGATCACTATCCGTGCCTTGGGAGGACTTCTGTCTGCTTATCACCTGACAAATGATGAAGTATTTAAAAACAAGGCTGTAAGTCTAATACTCTAAGAAAACAAATAAAATCATCTAAAAATGTATTATAATTATTGCATCATTAAGTTTTAGATCTTCGGCTTATTCTTATTCTCTTCTACTTAAAATACTGATCAACTTTCTTGTAGAAAGAGTTGGGGGATCGCCTTTTACCTTGCTTTAAATCTCCGTCAAATGTCCCTTTCTCTGATGTGAACCTGAGGACTGGACATGCCCACGCCCCCCGGTGGGGCCCTGACAGCAGCACATCAGAGGTGACCACCATACAATTGGAATTCCGAGATCTCAGCAGAATCACAAAGGATAATAGATATGAGGTCAGCAGACATAATTTGATTTTAGCATTTGAAATATATATTTTTGTCATCAGGTCTACACAAAAGAGCATTGTACTTCCAACTTGTTGGAGTTCAGGCTGTAATTTCATAGGTGTGAACAGTTCACTATTCATTCCCAAATGCACTAAATTGACTTCTCTTGAATGGATAATGAATCTGTGGTTTACAATTGTATTCTTGGTTTACAGTATTTTTGAACATGTAACTAAACTTTGCATCTAAAAGACGTGCATTATTTGTATGATTGATCAGATTGTAATCTAATTTTGAATTTGAAAAATGCACAGTACTGTTGTATTCATGAATTTCTGTACAATTTTTCAGCATGCAGTAGATGTAGTGTCAGAACATGTTCACAAACTACCAAAGAAGGATGGACTAGTGCCAATATTTATCAATGCCAATACAGGGTCTTTCAGAAGTTCTGCCACCATTACATTTGGTGCTAGAGGAGACAGTTACTATGAGTATTTATTGAAGCAGTGGATACAGACAGGAAAACAGAAGGAGTAGTATGTATCTTCAACATGTATCATAGAATATCAAGTTTTAAGAGGGGAAATGTACAATAAATACTTATTGTCAACAACCAAGTAAAGCATAGAGGAATGTGCTCTGAATTCTTTTTTAAAACATCTATGATGATTTTGTTAATACCTGGATTTTTTTTTCTACAGTTTGAAACAGGACTATGTGCAGGCAGTAGAGGGCATTAAGACTCACTTACTGAAGGAATCTGAACCCAGTAAACTGCTGTACATAGGGGAGCTACTGGGAGGGAGGTCATTCAGTCCTAAAATGGTGAGGCAGCTGTAGCAAGTGTTCATATCACTTATCAATTATATCCATTCTGCAACTGTTTCAATGGGATTTTCATATGAATTCTAGTTGTTTAAAAGTATTAATTTTTTTGGGGGGGGGATTTTAATCAATATTCATTTGATTAAAAAACATGAATTTTCATTGATACCCGGTACATGATAAAAAAAAAAATTGGCATCAACCATAGGGATATACTTTTGAAAATATTTTTTTCTTCTCATTCATTCATACAGTATTATAGACCTGGAATAATAAAAAAAAACCAATTTCACTTTTTCTTTCATTTTCACAGGATCATTTAGTTTGTTTTATGCCAGGAACATTGGCTTTGGGGCATCAACATGGTCTTCCAAAGGATCATATGGAAATTGCCACTAAATTAGCGAAAACATGTTATGAAATGTATAATAAAATGCCAACCAAACTCAGTCCTGAGATTGTGTATTTTAATCAGGCACCAGGTTCCAGTGATGATCTCATAGTCAAAGTAAGGCAGAAATAATTTTTGCAATACTCTTAAATTTGTGAGAAATGTTTTGGAAATTATTTCCTTTTTATTGTGTAAAAAGAAAATTTTAAATGCTTCATAATTCTGGAAATGTTATCTCCTATACTAAACTAGGTATACTTCAAATAATATATTTAACTCTGTGATAAGTATTTAACTCTGTGATAAGTATTAAACAAAGAACTTGCTTCTTCCATTTCAGCCGCTAGATGCCCACAACCTGTTGCGTCCAGAGACCGTAGAGAGTCTATTTTACATGTACCGATTTACTCAGGACAAGAAGTACCGAGACTGGGGCTGGCAGATCTTCCTAGCCTTCATGAAATACACCAAGATCGAGGGGGCTGGCTTCTCCTCCATCAACAATGTCAAGAGCCCGAGTAACCCAGGGTACAAAGACAAACTAGAGAGCTTCTTCTTAGCAGAGACTCTCAAGTACCTGTTCTTATTATTCAGTGACGATCCTAAACTGATACCCCTAGACAAGTTTGTGTTTAACACTGAGGCTCATCCCCTGCCCATTTACTCCGAGTGATTTTAATAATTGTTCTTGTGTCAAATAGAGTGATTGTATGTGTGTGTAGGATTTAAAGTACATTCATAGGATATATTGTGTGCTAGATTAATGTGAATATTTGGTGCATCTCCTTATAAGGTGTGTGAATAATTTACCATGTGATATACAATGAAAAGATACAACACTGAATTTGCTCATTATTGTAAATTTTTACACTGAACATAGAATATACGAAGACTGAACATATTTGAAATGTTTGTACATTATTTAAGCTATAAGTGTGCAATCTGTGTGTTATGCTCTAAATCCATCTTGTATGCTTGATTATGTTAATATCTTCTGTCTTTAGTTTAATATTTCTTCTCATGTGTATTGCTTGTCAAAAGCAAGTTTTCTCTTATTATCCAAGGGTTCTTTTTGAAATGTTGAAAATGTATTTTTCATTTATTTACTGACTTCATTATATTATTTTAAATCAACCTTACTGCATATAAAAAATGTATGTGTATATTAGGTTGTATGAACAGTGTTAAATAATTTTTTAGTATGTGAATTGAAACAGTATAGAAGATTTATGATTTGGTTAACTCTGGTGTTTCAACACTGGTGGAAATATTAATCATAAAAAATTCATAACACTTTAAAGCTGAAATATGCTACTAATGGTATTCTGTTATTTTATCCACAAAAAGGGAGTGTATATAAAGTAATATCACAGTAATATTGGTCAAAATTAATCTTAGCTGCAGAACTGTAGCTCTCTGCTTTATCTTTTCCGAATTTTCTCAAGCAGAGAGCTACAGTTCTTCAGGCTAAATTAATCTACTACATATCAACTCATTTAAATGAAATGGAATAATAATAATAATAATATGCAGTAAGACAGAAGAGATTCAAGTAAGAGTGTTACATGTAGAAAAAAAAATTACAAATGTATTTCCACCATTTTAAAATAATTACAAGTTCCAGTAGGTTTGTGTAAATATTTGTGTTTACCTCATTATTATTATTTTAATTTCTTGCATCTTTGATTTGTTTTCAGATTATTTATTATGATCTTACTTCACATTCCTAGTCATATACTGTACTTGTTGCATTGTATTGTTTTTTTTTATAAGAACTGTGTCATATAATAATGATGTGGTCAGGGAAAACATAATAGGAATATTTTTTAAATATCACTAAAATTCTTGTTTAGATAAAATTCTTTCATAATATTAAAATCTATGTAGAACATAAATGATTTTACCAAAGAAACTTGTATATTCAATTACAGTCAAACCTCGTTATCCTAACTTGATGAAACCAAGACAATAGTTTGAGATATCTGAGGATTCAAGATATCCAGGGTTAAATACATAAGAAATAAGTGCTTGGGACTTCAAAATCACTTAAACATATCCATATTATTTGATAGCGGTGATCTAGATATCGCAAGTCGACTGTACATGTATGAATTAGCTACCGTATAAGTAGAATTTTTAGCGAGGATTTAATTTTGGCATTATTAGCGAGGGTGCCGAGATCGCTAAAATTAAATATCGCTAAAAATTAATTGCGTTTATTTGTAATAGCCTCTTTAATGTGCATTTTAAAATCGCTAAAATAACATCTTGCTAAAAATAAATTACCAGTTTTTAAGGACTAATCGCTAAATTTGTGTCTCGCTAAAATTTCCACTAATATACGGTATTAAAATAATGAGCAGATTTTATTGCAAAAAATGTCACCTAAGGAGACTAATTACAGTGAATGCAAAATGTATTTTAAAGATGTTAAAACAATTATAGAGTTTTGTGCTGAATGAATATTGTCTGTTTGTCCTCTGTGTCTTGTAAGGTTGTCAGTCTATTACTTATAAACTTTTTCATAACTTTAAGATGCACTGCCAGAACTAACAGTGAACACATATGAACATTAATTTTTTCTTGAATTTAAAGCTTGACCAGTAGTGCAATTTAATCTATACAGCATTCTAGATGGCACAGATTTTATATTTTCATATTCATACTTAATATACCAACATCAAGGGTCTATTTTTGGGCAGTATGAGATTACAAAAAGTAGTTTTTATGTATTTTTGGATATTTCTTGAATTTATTTTTTTAATCTAGATTTTGTACAGAAACAGTGGACTCTACACTTTTCATTCCCTTTGCATTAAATATCATACAGTTGACTTCTATTCTGCTTCTGTATCAAGGGGGGAAATTATTTTTTTGATCTAGATTTTGTACAGAAACAAAATAGTCATTAATATAAATTAGATTTAGTGGACTGTATACTTTTCATTCCCTGTGCATTAAATATCCTACAGTTGACTTTTATTCTGGTTCTGTATCAAGAAAGTAAAGGGGGAAAATTCCACATGATCGATCAAGAGTCAATTTTTTATACATTGTAATTTTGGGAAATTCCAATTTTTTTTCCAGGTTATTGTTTGTGAAACTTGTATTGGGCACCTAATATCTAAGGGAAAAATACATACACATAATAGTGACTAAATGGTCCAGAATTGATATTTTATTCTTGAAATGTTTAGAATTTCTTAACTCTAACCTGGGAAGAAATTACTAAGGAATAACTGGCCATAACCTGTTTTGGGTCAGTTTACGGTTTATAATCCGCGAAGCGGATTATAAAAAAGCGTAAACTGACCCAAACCAGATTATACTCGATAATATGGCCAAGAATTAAAGTCATTCCTTATAATTTAATTTTTAAATAATTAAACAACTTTTGATGTAAAATTGTGTTGCTTTTTATAAGTTCAAATTTACCGCGCAATAATACAACCGTAGTAACGGAAGTGATTTGAAGCGAGGGGAGGTAATAACTGATACATAGATCTAGCAGCCATGATGTTTGTTAACATGAGGTAAGAACGAGTAATTCTTTAAAGTTGAAGGTACATTTATTAAATGGAATTTTCCATGGATTCCGAGGACTGGAAATGAGGGGATTGCATGGATATGATGATGAAGCTGGTCGTCAAGGGGGTGTGTCCCCATACCAAACCAGATTATACAAAATGTTATGCGTTCCTTTTTGGAAATCAACCAATGAGAGGCGAGAATACAAATAAAATTAAATTATTCTTGTATGTAATTCTTCATTGACTCTTGATTATTTAGTTTTTCTCATGTAAGGAATCCATTCATGAGACTAAACCTTTTTAGCTCACCTGAGCCGAAGGCTCAAGTGAGCTTTTCTGATCAAAATTTGTCCGTTGTCTGTCGTCGTTGTCGTCGTAAACTTTTCATCTTCTTCTCAAGAACCACTGGGACAATTTCAACCAAACTTGCTACAAAGTATCCTTGGGTAAAGGGGATTCAAGTTTGTTCAAATGAAGGGCCATGCCCTTTTCCAAGGGGAGATAATTATGAATTTGAGAAAAATTAATGCCATTTTAAAAAATCTTCTTCTCAAGAACGACTGGACCAGGAAAGATGAAACTCACATGGAATCATCCTCAGGTAGTGTAGATTCAAGTTTGTTCATATCATGACCCCCGGGGGTTGGGGCCAAAATGGCCGATCAAAGTTTTACATAGGAAATATGTCAAGAACCACTGGGCCAGGAAAGATGAAACTCATGTGGAATCATCCTCCCAAATCACGGGGGTAGGGTGGGGCCAAAATGGCCGATCAAAGTTTCACATAGGAATATATAGGAAAAATCTTTAAAAATCTTCTTCTCAAGAACCACTGGGCCAAGAAAGATGAAACTCATAAGGATTCATCCTCAGATAGTGTAGATTCAAATTTATACAAATCATGACCCCCGGGGGTAGGGTGGAGCCAAAATGGCCGATCAAAGTTTTACATAGGAGTATATAGCAAAAATCTTTAAAAATCTTCTTCTCAAGATCCAAAGGGCCAGGAAAGATGAAACTCATGTGGAATCATCCTCAGATAGTGTAGATTCAAGTTTGTTCAAATCACAATGCCCGGGGTAAGGGTGGGGCCAAAATGGTCGATCAAAGTTTCACATAGGAATATATAGGAAAAATCTTTAAAAAACTTCTCAAGAACCACTGGGCCAGGAAAGATGAAACTCATAAAAATTCATCCTCAGATAGTGTAGATTCAAATTTGTTCAAATCATGACCCCTGGGGGTAGGGTGGGGCCAAAATGGCTGATCAAAGTTTTACCTAGGAGTATATAGGAAAAATCTTTAAAAAAAATCTTCTCAAGAACCATTGAGACAGGAAAAATGAAACTCATGTGAAATTATCCTCAGATAGTGTAGATTCAAGTTTGTACAAATCACGACCCCCGGGGTAAGGGTGGGGCCAAAATGGCTGATCAAAGTTTTACCTAGGAGTATATAGGAAAAATCTTAAAAAATTCTTATCAAGAACCATTGAGACAGGAAAAATGAAACTCATGTGAAATTATCCTCGGGTAGTGTAGATTCAAGTGTACCCCCGGGGTAATGAGGCCAAAATGGCCGATCAAAGTTTCACATAGGAATATATAGGAAAAATCTTTAAAAATCTTCTTCTCAAGAACCACTGGGCCAGGAAAGATAAAACTCATATGGATTCATCCTTAGATAGTGTAGATTCAAGTTTGTTCAAATCATCACCCCCGGGGGTAGGGTGGGGCCAAAATGGCTGATCAAAGTTTTACCTAGGAGTATATAGGAAAAATCTTTTAAAAAATTCTTATCAAGAACCATTGAGACAGAAAAAAAGAAACTCATGTGAAATTATCCTCGGGTAGTGTAGATTCAAGTTTGTTCAAATCATGACCCCGGGGGTAGGGTGGGGCCAAAATGGCCGACCAAAAATTAATTCTCATAGGAATATAAAGGGAAACCTTTTAAAATCTTCTTTTCAAGTACTTCAAAGCCATGATTAGTAATATTTATATAGAATTATCCTCAGGTAGTGTAGACTCTAGTTCGTCCAAACCATGATATGTGCTTTTTCCTAGCTGATGTGCTCAGGTGAGCACTGTGGCCCCTGGGCCTCTTGTTAAAATTAGTACATGTATTTAAATGATTATGCAGTATTATATATATTTTCAAAAAATGTCTATTTTTTAAATGACATATTTTTGAAAAATGAAAGTGGTTTTACTATGATTTTTTCAACTTTATTAGAATAATATAGTAATAAACTCCTAAAATCCACTGCATTGCATAAAAGAAAATATTTCTTTTTAAAAATATTGACATTTTATCTTAGTCATTTAAATTTTAATGTCCTTCCTGTTACTTTCATAAAAAAAGCTGTAAAACTCTATTTCAAAATTTTTATCTAATAATCTCTCAAAAAATGAAAAAAATTATCATTGAATGCCAAGATGTTTGACATTCATCTAATATATGCGTTTAAAAGCATGTCAAACTACCATATACCAAACAGAAGCAAAATCTATGGGTTTTTCATTGAAATGCCTTAAATATTTATATGCTATAGTAGAAAAAAACATTCTGTACATTATTTTTGTGATTAGAATAAACAGTTACAGAAAGTTATTTAAACAGGTGCTCTGCCAAAGCAATTTAAACTAGGAAAATATACTGGTAACAGTAAGGACTTGGGTAACAGGAAGGACAAAACAGTAACAGGATGGACAAAACAGTGTAACAGGATGGAAAATGAAATCTACATTTGAAATAAAAATTGACTTTTTTTAAACTTTATTGGTTAGGAAAAGAGAAATAAATGTAGAATAAAAACATGATTTTGTCAAATCTGGCAAATTCGAGACAATAAAAGACATTTATGTTTTTATCGAAATTTAATTGTAAAGTGCTATTAAAATATTTATGTCTTCAATTTTTGTTTATTAAAGGTACTCTATGCTGTTGCAAAACTAAGAATTTTTCATAATTTTAAGAAAAACAAATGATAAAACTTAAATCAGTATATAAATACCATGATAATTTGTCCCTCCTGTTATAATTTCTGTCCATTCTGTTACAAGAGTGCATGTTTAAGTAGTAATGGCACTATTTGAAGCACTAACATATTTCAATATTATAATACGAAGTTTTTTAACATATGTTATTAAACTTATATTACTTAGAAAAATAAAAGTAATTGTTTTTATTGTTAAAACTCAAGATATGAAGTCCAGTTTTCCTTACTGTTACCATATTAATGGTAACAGAAATGACAGTAACAGGATAGACGTTTTTCATATAAATCACCCGTTATTTAGTATAACGTACTCTTTTTGCAACATCGAGACATTGAAACAATTTCTTTGTAGCTTAGTTAATCTAATTGTTTTAGCAGAATAAACAATTTAAAGAGTACTTGCATATTAAGAAGGTAACAGATAGGACGTATTTTAATTATACTCTACCAATAAGACAAACGTATCGACCTTTGAACCCTTTCTTTACTCACTTTCAAATCATGGCGCTCATAAACTTGAGACAACAGAAAATGATGATATATTGTGGATCATGAAAACAGTTCCTAGGAAAGTGAAATAACTTTTATTTTAACATTTTCTTTTTGGTAACAGAAATGATATATAGGGACATGTCATGAATGTTAAATGCACAATGCTAGTATTTAGTGGGCGGCATAAGTAAAACAATCATATTAAATTAATCTGTAAAAAACGATTAATAAGTGCAAAATTTGTACATATCTTCACATGGTGATATTTTTCTATCATTTAAATAAATATAAAATTTTTGTTAATGTGACATGGTTTTACTGTTAAATTTTACTGCGAATGCATGAAATTTTTTATAAAACATGGGAGATGATCATAAAATAACTTATAAGCTGTATGACCATGTATATTATCCAACGGGAAAAAAACTTTCACTCTAGAAAATTTTTTTCCTATTTTTCTGACCAAAAGACAAAAAAATAGACTTTTTTTGAAAATGACCCATATATATTTTACCATTTTGTCATTTTTCAGGAAAAGGGGTCAGGGTGGGGGGTAGGAAGGTAATTATGTTTCTTAAGTGCATTTCAGTACTCTAGTGCTTTTTTGTCCCAATCCTAATTCATGTAAACAACTTGTATAAATACATGTATACACTTCATATATTTACTATACTCTCAATTTAACATTGTGTCAATGTCCCCTTAGCCGAATATGCCTAAATTTTGACTACACCAATATTACGAATTTTACTTAAGCTGTATTACATTGCAAGTGTTGAAATGTTCTGTAAAATAGAAAAAGAAATTCTCTCATTTTTTTTTCTTTAAAGATTGTACGAATTCAGATTTATTTAATGTTTGAGATATGTATGACATCATCATTGCATGTATTGAAAGATGGCAAGAACATTTTTATTTCATCTTGTATTGTTTTAAATGGTAAATATGGTGTATGTGATTGGAGTAATTTAGAAGTTTTTTTTTATCATAAGAGTTTTGATATTTTCAGTATGTTGTGATAGGAGGCATTTGTCATTGCAAGATGATTCATCAGAAGTTTAACAATAAAATTAGTATTTTAATATATTAAATCAGTTGTTGACCCTTTTTGGGGGGGTGGGGAGTGTATATATTGATGAATATTTTTGTCATCATTTGTTAGATTATTACTACAAATATTTTTTATTTAATACTAATTCCAACATCTGTTTTATTTGATATTAATTCTGACATCCAGTGGGACTTTCAGGAGAAATTTTCTTCACAGAGTACCCGGTACTCCATGTTATTGTCCCCAGTTTTCCAGTGGTCGGGAGGGGAGTTGTAAGCATACACTGAGTGACCGTGGGGGTCATGCTGACCCTCCCAGAGATTATCTGTGACCGGACTAGACTGTCCATTCCCCACCCACTGCCAGTCTCCATTAACAACCTCCATTCCCAACCAGAACTGAGGGGCGTAACCTGTCAATTCAATAAAAGATTTCATCATTTTCCTGTTGATATAAATATAGATACATAGTAAATGAAAATCAGTTACCTGGTAAAAAAAAAAATTACAAGTCCCCATCCCAAACTTCCTTGTCAACTTTTTCCATGGAACGAAATTAATTTGGGAATCAATATATTTCCGAAATCATGGTTATTATACCTTCTCACAGTTGGGCGAATTTAAAACGGGGCTAATTCACAGAATACAGTATAATTGTTTAAACAGAACTGTGACTGTAACAATTGTTAAAATTGACAAAATTGTTAGCAAGTGTAAAAGGGCGAAAATAAACCAGTATACAGTTTACAAAATTTGCCCCCTTTTCCCCGGATCAATTGGTCTTCCCCTTAGGTATTTATCAGCTGTCTGTTATAACGAGAGATTGTCAAATATCAGACATTTTTTATTTTGGTTATCCAGAAGGTCCTAGGATTTAAAAACAGACAAACATAATCTAAAAAAAGAAAACAGTATCGGTTGCAAAATCAAGTAAATCTAACCAGGCATTGTTTCAAAAGGAGAACATTTAATTGTGCTGAAATGGAAAAAGTATCAAATCCCTCCCCCCTCCTTGCTCTGTGAACTTTAAGGTAGGATTCTTCTCTGGTTTCTGACAAGATGGAATATTCAAAGTACATATCTGTTGATATGTCTTATATATTTAGATGTAAGAGATTTAAAAGACCATATTTTTCTTTCCTCATCACAGTTATACAACTTTAAATAGAAATGGTAAACTGCGTTTGAAAACTAGCAGTGACTATATTTTTGGCGGAATGGTGGCGTATGAAAATATCTTCTTTTCTGCCATTCAAAATTAGTATAGAACATTGAATTTAGTTAAATTTTCAAATGTAAGTTAAATTAATAATAAGGGACTAAATATATCAAATAAATACGATTTTTCACACATACTAGAAATATGTTGTCTTTTAAATGCTTCAAATCTAATTACAGATTTGAGCCAAAAATCCGTAAAGTGTTATTTTTCGCTTAGTAAACGATAAAAACTTTTAGTTTTTGCCTCGTTTTGTACCTTTATGTGACAACTTTACTATATGTGAAAATTACAAAAAGTTAAATATAGGAAGCATATAAGAATAACTAATAAATCCTAAAAAATTTAAGAAAAGTAGAGGAAATTCGGATTAGCAAATATTCATTTTATTTAAATTATCCATGTCAATTTGGTAATATCATCTAATAGGCCCTATATGGTAGTATCTTTTTATGCAAAAAGAAAAACATTCGATTTTTTTCAATTACAAGTAAGGATCGCATGATTGGGAACAGTAATTTTTTATTCTTAATGTCCAAGAAAAGGGTAATGACCTTGACCTGACCTTGCCTCTAATATAAAACGGTCAAATTTAATCTCACTGATACCATCACTTAGTGATATTGTCCTCTTGATTCTGTGAAAATTTCATTAATTTTCATTTTTCAAATACAAGAAATGTGAGAAGAATCCTACCTTAATGAAACAAGCAAATTCAAAGAATTGTAGTCCCATGCTTTCGGTATCCATGTGGGTGAGATGTCATTTATTATAGCATATTGTGTCAAATATAAACGCCGTATCATATGTCATTCAAAACTTATCACCAAAGTTGATTTTTTTTTTTAAATGTAGGTCAAACATGAAGGCCAAGGGAAATCAGCATGCTCGGAAATATTTTGTCACAGGAAATACCCATGTCAAAAATTTGAAAGTCTTATCTCTTCTCTATCAAAAGTTATAACGAAAAATTAACATTTTTAAAAAGTAGGTCAAACGTAAAGGCCAAGTTAACTTTGTCAAAAAACAGTGTGTATTCAGAAAGGTCTTTCACAGGTAATACACATGTTTTAGTATGAAGCCCTATCTCTTCTCATTCAAAAGTTTTGGCCAATTTAATGTTTAAATTTTTGACAAACTCCAAGGTCAAGGTCACAGGTTTAAAATTCATAGGACATTTAGAAAGGTCTTTTCACAGGTAATACACATAATATATGATATGAAAGTCCTATCTCTTATTCAAAAGATATGACCAAGGGTAAAGTTTTTGTGACAGACGGACAGACGAATGAGATTTAATGTCCCCTTGCTTTCGCGAAAGCGGGGAACAAGTAGACAATTTATCATATCTAAATAAGATATTCAACCTGTCATAAGCCTTCCCAATCTCAGTTCCTCCTCGTCAGATTCTAGATGCACCACGTGGGTGGCTTCGGCTTCGCAGATTCGTTTGGCGTCCTTGTAGCGTTTATTGAGATCGTAGAAGTAATAACAAGTACCGTGATCTGTATCGGGTATCGTCATAGTGGCCGACTGATGCTTGTCACAACTTACTGTCGTCGAACCTTAACAAAAACTAAAAAGTCTGCAAGATATATTTATTCAGTATACTGTCTGACATTTCCGTAATGATAACATAAGATGATAACCTTAACAAAAGTAAAGTTTTATGATGAACGTGATGACTTCAACTTTTTAATCGTCACTTATTGACGAACCAGTTAAGTAGACAAGGATTTGAACAGTTTCTTTTAAAGCCTCATCTCGCAAGTTCTATGGTCGATACAATAATTGAGCATCAATTTTAGAATGGAACCCCTTGAGCAGCTTTTGAACATCATTGTCAGACAGAAAAAAAAATAGACCACCAATTTCTCCAAGAATTGTTTATATTTCAATGAATACCTGAGGATGGATTAACAACGGTTGATGACGTTAGCAGTGCACTTGTAGTTGATTTGCTGGATTGGCCAGAGGTAGTGAGTGTTGATTGGATACTAGAAGATGCTACGTCAGTATGTGTAGGGATCGGATTGGTTGGATTTGTGACGCTTCCTGGGTCTGTGTTACACATGTTACAGGTCTTGGCACACAGAAAAAGAGCAGAAGATGGTCGAAGGTTACAGATATCCAAAGTCTGTATCAAATGTTGGCAGTTTTCTTCTGCATCAGTACATGCTATTTGTTGAGCTTTACCTAGAATTAATTGTATTTTGTATCGAACGGAGAAATATTGAGCAGGTGCGAATCAGGGAATTGGAATTTTTAAGGGGGGGGGGGGGTTCCACATATCAAAAACCCCTACAGACACCAAACTAGGACATTTTTGACTAGGAGAAAAAAATTCAAAATTTCTAATCATGCAAACCTATTTACTGGAGTTGGGAATGTTAGGTACTTTTTAAAAGTCTTATTTTAAAACATTCCGGAGGTTGGCATTGGACAAATTGTCGCAAAATATGCGCATGGGGTAGAATATATTGAATATAGTGAATTTTAAGGTTACAGTAAAAGATGTATAGTATACATTTACCATAGCTTATTGCAAAGATGTAACACACAACAATCCAGCTGTATGCAAGCATTTTTTCTCGCATCAGAAGAAATCAGAAATATAGCATTGTATGATAAGATTATTCTTTAGTGAACACCACTTTGAGTGACATCAAGTTCGAGAGATAAGAAACGTGAAAGGTTAAAATGTGGGAAAGTAAATTCTTGAATACAATACAATGAAAGTTGTTTGTTTCAATACGTACACATGTGCATGGTTATCTTGTTTACTTTATTTATGTTTTGCTCTTTTTGTGAATTTTGAGTGCCATAAGTATGTACTTGACAAAAGGTTTAGCTAGTTTAAGAGTTTTTTCTTGTTATTTCAATTTTATGTATTCATACATGTAAGGCCTATTTTTAGCCCTAGTATATGCATTATTTCTACATACAATGTCTGTTTTTGGATCATAATGATATGGTGTTGCCAGTCCCTCCCTTGATCGGGAATCCGAGGGTAACAACAGGAAGAAGTTTCTTTAAGTGAAAGAACAAGTGTTATCCTAGCTTTCTCCCGATGTCGCTCTTGTAACTCTGCCCTCCAGGCGTGCTTCCCCGCCCTTAGGGGGAGTGAGAGGCCTTAATTGTGCAGCAAATGATCTTTTTTTCAACTGATATATCACAGACGAGCAAACGGTTTTAGCGGCAATTTGACATAATAACTGTCAAATAGGAGACCAACAAAGCGGGATCGTTTTATGTTCATAAGTTAAACAGGAAACTAAGGAGGAAATCGGTACTTAGTACAATACTTATCCCATGACTGAACAAAACATTTAATATCCCATGACTAAATTCGTATGGGCGAAAATATATGGTGGTTTCAATGGTAATACTGATGGATTTGATGTTTCTGTTATTTAGGGGTTGAAGATAAACCTATTTGCTGTCTTCGGATTAACTTCTAAAACTGTCGAGGAACTCCGACAACATTTATGCCGAAATCCAATTGGAGATCTTTATTATGGCGTCGAAGTCTCCTGATTCTGAATTTGCACAAGTGTTGATAACATGCCATCTCTGTTCCACCCAAGTAGGACTTTACTGTTCCACCTGCGGTATAAATTTGTGTGGAGGGTGTGTTGGTCAGCATATGCTATCTCTTCCATTGCAGAAACACGATGTCGTCAAATATTCCTCAAAATATGACGTACTTTTCCAGCCATTCTGTACTGCACATCCTGATGTGCAATGCGAGATTTTCTGCGAAGAGTGTCAATCTCCCGTTTGTTCTAAATGTATCGCTTCTATGTCACATAAAAACCATCAATTCAAGGAACTCCAAGAAAAATATGCCATCTTGAAGGAAACCGTAGCAAAAGATACCGAAACTCTCGAAAACCGAATTGTAAAAGAATATCAAAATATTGTTGGGGAGCTGCATGGATTAAGAGCTGACTTATCAAACTACTATTATAATCTTCGGTCGGCTGTCTTAAAGAGAGGAGAAGGGTTACACCAGCTTATAGACAGCGCCATCCAAAAATGCCACTCTGATATTGACGCAATGGAAACTCAAGAAATCGGCAAAGTTGAGCAGAACCTGTCCGAGTTTAAAAGGCTCCTGCAAACGGTGCAAAACAAAATTAAGGAGAATAACAGATACCTTCAGTCGATGGATAAAGAAATATTTAGCTACAAGTCTACGTTGACTGAATTTACAGACGTTCCTTCAAGACTAACGCTTGCAGCTCCACCTATGTTCATTCCAGCAAAAATGGACATGAATACTGACGATAAGTTTTTAAAATACGTAGGCAAAATCATCCCCTCTAAAATCATAAACAATGATTCTTACACACTTACTCAGACGAGTTCTAACAGAGATGTCTTGAAAAAGCCATACGTCATTGCCTCCATTGAAATCCCTAAGTACATGTACAAGAACCTGTTTAGACTGAGCTGTTTTGGGAAGGAACAAGCATGGATCAACGGCTCAAGTAAATCTCTTATTCGATGTGATAAGCAGGGTTCAATCTTGGAGGTTGTTGATGCGAACTCTGGTGATATTCCGGTTGGTTTGACTGTTACTAAAGACGGAGAACTAATGTACACAGATCGCAAAGCCAAAAGCATCAACATTGTACGAAACGGTACAACAGAGGTACTTTGCAAACCAAAGTGGTTCCCGGGTACCATATGTTCCACGGACAACGGGGATTTTCTGGTTGCAATGTGGAATGGCTTGACTGGGAAGCAAAAAGAAATCAAAGTCACAAGATTTTGTGAAACAGGTCTAAAACAAGATATCCAGAACGATGAAAACGGGCAACCTCTCTTTCAAATAGAGGGCGAATTTACGGGACTTGCTGTCACTGAGAACAGAAACGGGGATATCTGTGTAGCAGACTGGAATGCGAATGCCGTGGTGGTCGTCAATGGGAGAGGGAGACTCAGATTTAAGTACTCTGGGGCAGGGGAAGGGTCGTTCATCCCTCGGTATACTGCGACAGACAGTCAGGCCAATATTCTAATTTCCGACATCAAGAACCAATCTGTTCACGTTCTCGACATGGATGGAAATGTAGTCCTGTTAATGGATAATTGTGGATTTTCTAATCCCTATGGTGTTAGTGTTGACAACGAAGATAATCTGTGGTTGCTGGAACGATTTGGGAAAATAAAAATCATTAAGTATCTGAAGTAGCTTAAATATGAGACGATGCATCTACTGCCAATGCCAACTCATTTTATATGAATCCATTCGAAAAGTCGTCCTTTTCCCCGAAACAATTGAACGATTTGAAAAAAACATGATAAAATGAGGGCTCTTCGCAATAAAAAAAAAAAGTTTTATATACATAGCTTTAAACGCCAAATTAAAAATTGAATGTACTTAGAAACCAAACACGCAATATTGAACTTCAACGTATAGGGATACTTTGTGGACTTTCAAATGATATGGCCTCGATATACCAATCACGACTTTTTGATATTATTGGAATAACTATACTTAAGGTACTCCAGTCCTCAGCCAGGAAGAATAACTGTTTATTTATAATTTAATTCAAAAAGCCTCAGAATCAAGTTTAAAAATAAAATCTTTTCATGCAGCAATTTTCATTTTATACCTCTCAATGTACTTTTAACCTTATAACCAGAAGGGTTCTTCTTTATGCCGTAAAGAGTAGTGTTATAGTATAATTTTATTGAAAAAGTTAAAGAGTTTTAAAGATATAACCTGGAAACAAAGTTTATCACAAAAATGAATGAAATCATGACCTTTAATTTTTGACTTCAATATCCTTCAGGCCAAATGGAAATGTAAAGAATTTCATTGCAAAAAGTTCAAGGGTTCTACTGATATCACACAAAAACAGAGGCATTTCACACAGACAGAATGTACTACTATGCATTTATGACCTTGACCTTCAAATCAATAGGGGTCTTCTTTAGGCCATGCAGTTGCCATATAAAATCTCATTGCGAAAAGCTTGGAAACAATATTACACACAGACATGATTTAAGATCTTGACCTAAAAATCAATAGGTGTCTTCTTTAGGCTGTAGGGAATTTCACTGCTCAAAGGCTAGTAGAGAAATTAATGTGAAATCAAATGTTACAATGTATGAATTTCTGGCATTGACCTTTGAACCTTAAAACCAATAGGGATCTTCCTTAGGCCATAGGGAGTTGTAATATAAATTTCATTCCAAAACCTCAAAGACTTCTTGTACAAAGACATAAAAGATCATTTAATGAATACTTTTTTTAATTATAAATCTTCAGAATTACGAATTAATCCAAATTAATTTCCAGTCAATATGCCATCAGCAACTTTACAATAAATAGGATCTTTTGCAAATTAGTTGGTGCCGGAGGGTCTACAAATAGAAAATAAATATGTGTTAATCTTATAGCAAAATGCTTAAGAAATAAATAATTTATCAAAATTATCAACAGTTATATATAGATAAAAACTTCCTGAATTTTCAATGATTAAAGTGAAGCTTAATCAGCATGAAGATGAAATTGTGTATCAGGACACATTTTCTGTATACAGTGAAACATGTAAAAACAGGGAAAAAGAATGTATCCAGATTTTCTGTACCTGGCTTTTACTACACACAAGATCATAGAGACACAGGTGTGTGAAAACTCCAGGATATTTCCATCGCATTAATAATCAAAACGGCAATGAGCCAGAAAGTTCCTATGAGTCATCACCTACTGTAGCCCAATCAAATCCCAGGCTCTTGACTGAATTAAGTCAATTAACTGCACTACACTATCGTAAGGTGCTTGCATACTTTAAAATATCATTGTCATCAGCATGCTGTTTTTGATGTAAAGATTTTTAAAAATCTCTCCTGCATATTCTCATGTGTTAAACTGTTGCTTTTGCTTTTTTTTGTTGCCTCAACTGCCCCCCCCCCCCCCCCCAAAATTGGATTATACTAGAATTTGAATCTACAAGACTTTATAGAATGCTTGCAAAATATACATTATCATGCCCATCCTCTCTTTTTTTTTTTAGAAAAAATTCCCTACATATTTTCATGTAAAATTTTTGTGCCCCACCCTACTCTGGGCCCCAGGCTATATTAAACTTGAATCTACATTATCTGAAGACAGTAGCATATTAATACATGTAACACCTTGTTCGAACTGAAATGGTATATTCCCCAATCTCTGATCTCTCATTTTGGCCCCAGACACCCTGCCGAGATGATCTGAACAAATTGGGACTCTACTTACAGAGCTGCTAACATTCTGAAATGAAAAATAGTAAGGCGTGGTCCGGCGACCGCCTAGGCCCCCTACCGCTGAAGATGTTTTGTAAATGGACATGCAATCGGAGTAATTTGAAGCACATTTCCATTTTGTTTACTTTAAAACACTGACATGAATGTGATCGGCCATCTTAAAAAACAACGATACAAGCAAGAGTTGTAAAGATTATGACTATATTTCATTATAATAGTAGAATCTGTAGATGGCCAGCTATGAAAATTCCGGTGTTATAAACTTTGATCCAGAAAAATTGAAATCAAAAGAATAGTGAGAGAAATCGTAAGGCGTATTTTGGATGCTAATTTCGGAAGACTTATGCCAAAATCATAAGGGTTGGCAGCTCTGTACTTAAAGGAGGCTTGCAGCAGATTTTCAAACACTTTACCCAAGGGTAAAAATGCCTGCACTAAATAGACTAATCCTGTAAAACTCACTTGGCCCACTCCACATTGAGGATGAGGTGATCATAGCCAAAGCCTGACACACCAGCTATAGCCCGGGCAGCATCTTCTCTTCTGTGGAAGTTAATGAATGCAAATCCCTGTAAAAAATTAAACTAATGTCAGCATTCTGAGCCATATGATAAAACCAAAATTAAAGACACCAACAGTAGAGTTCAAAAGTGAATCATTTTGCTCAATTAATTAAACTGTTATACATCTTATCACAGAGTACTCAATACAGTCATACACAAAAACTGTTACCTTTGACTGGCCTGTATTTTTGTCTTTCGCCAAGTAAATTCTCTGAATGGGTCCAAACGGTCTGAAGAGTTCCTGTAAATCTGACTCCCTGGTGTCCTCGGACAGATTCGTAACTCGAATGGTGGCAGACTCGTCTACAGAAGGAAAACAACAATTAAAATCTGTAACTTGAATAGTGGTAAACTCATCTACAAAAGGAAAACAGCAAATGTCTATGATAAACATGTGGTCAAAGACTAAAATGAATTGAAAACAATTAGGATTATTTTAAATGCTTTACAAATACAATCTCATTATTTATAATTAAACTATTTAAAATATTTGCAATGTTATAAGGTTACTTGACAATTGTTTTAATCATATGCAGGTAATCATGATAACTGCAACATACTGTATTTGAACACAATATGAAGTTAACAAAAATCCAAGTTATTGCAAAATTTAAATGAAATAGTATAAACACCAAATAAATAGCATAGAAACAGTCAACTTATTTGGAACAAAATACTATATGCACTAACACTTGTGCACCTGTACATGCTATCAATTATTAAATGATACCTCAAGGAATCTATACCAGTTATCATATTTATGATGTAAAATTCAGACCCAGAGTTTAAATTTGTACCTGCATCCCCCCCCCCATGTTCAAATTGAATTGTTGTTATTTCACACCCTTAAAAGCATGCAGTATTTGTATTGATATAAATTTGAAACAGCAAGATAAAAAAGTCAGATAAAGATATTTTTAAAAGATAAAAATAAAGTTGTACCTGTTGTGCCTATGAAAGAAAAGAATAGTTTGCTATTCATTAATAATTGCATTTTTTTAAAAAATTGATGTTCTTATGATAACATTTTACATTTATAAATCACATAATTTATTTACATACTCTCATATGTAGCAGATTTAGTGTATTATCTTAAGTATTTGGAGTAGGGTTTCGTTTGGTTTGATTGGTTGTGAATCTGGCCTAGAAGAAGTCAAAAATGTGAAAAGCTTTTTAGAGACGACATACAACAGATGCAGGACTTCAATTGATCAGAAAAGGTCACTAATGCTTTTGGCTCAGGTGAGCTTTAAAGGAAAATAGACAGTTACGAAAAAATCTGCCATTTCAAACCTATGATGGAGGAAAACAGACAATCACAAGAAATGAAGAATAACTAGAGAAACATTAAAGTAGGTCTACACTCGCACTACGTCATTAACGAATAGTAAAACCGGAACCACGCTTCCTTTTTCCGAGATGTGATTTTTTAACTATATTGGTTTGACTTTTACTTAGCGTTTTAAATAGTGTTGGCAACGAGTACCCGGTTAACCGGTTAACCGTCGAACGTTGCGAGTATCGGTTAGTAAAACTGCTATTCGGCGGATAAAATACATTTTTCATAGTTAATAGGTATAAAATGATTTTTATGCTATTTGTAAATGTTTATTGACACATTTCCCTCATTTAATTACCGTTAATTACCGTTAGCTATAGGCTTGCTTTGCTGGTTTACAGTTGGGATCGATTTGTTTTGATTAGTTTTCACAGCGTATATAATTGATGGCTTTGATTACCATGGGGGTACATGTTTTGAAAACCTGAGTTATAATTACTTCTAAAGTAGACCTGTGATAGTTAGAGGGACTTACTTTCACAAGATGCCGCCGCAAACATCTAAAGCGTGGGTATATTAAAAAAAACTGAATCGAAATACGGGTGGAACTACAATATGCTAAATCACCTTAGTTTTAAACATAATTCGGAAACCAGTGACTTGCAGGAAACTCTACAAAAACAACCAGCAATAACAAGGTCATGTGTTGATAATTTTTTTAAACAAGACGAGACGAGACGAAACGAGACGAAAACAAACTGACTGTTTCAAGTGACATTTATATTCAATAGTGTTCGAAGATGCTGTGTTTTTAAAGTTTGTATTTGTAAATAAATTATAATTCATATACGTAGCATATGTGGATTATTTTTACCAATAAGTAAAAGGATGAGGTAAGTAATAAATACGGAAACTATTGCAAAAAATCATCCGAGTAACCGGGTACTCGATCGGAAGAATAAGCGAGTAACCGGTTAGTAAAAATCGTCCGATTTGCCAACACTAGTTTTAAATATCTGGTAACGATTTTGCTCCAAGTCGCTCGCGTCAACAAACGTACAAACACTGATTGTACAGTTTAATTAATTGAAAAGAGAAGGCTGGGAACAACTTTCGGTTGACAGAAATAATTAGGTAAGAAAATGATATTTCTGTGAATAATGCATGAGTTATATGCCGTGTCAATAACACGGACCATCAGAACATGTTTCAAACTGTCGAAGTCGAGGCGACTATTGTCGGCGGCCAAGTTAAAGTTACTAGTGATAATTCGGAAGAAAAGTAATGACTACGATTTGACTTAGACAATTTATGAATTTTACTAATTAAACATTACAAAATTAAATTTACTTTGAATAATAATTATTGTATAAGATGCATACCCCCCCCCCCCCCCAACCTGCTTACCCATGAATCACAATGCGAAAATTATCTTTTGAATATAAGTTTATGACAAAAGTTGATTCACTTGCATACTTACTTTCTGTAACAAAATTATCCAGTTTGTTAGAATCAGTCAATAACTTTCATTTTCATTGTCTCCAATTTACAGACAAGTGTGTTTTAATCTTTTTTAAAGCGTAAAATAAGATAAATTTTAGGGACAATAGGTATTGGGTGTGTATAATTATTGTTTTAAATATGTACAACTTTGTTAATACAAATATACGTGTCACTCAAACATGAACAGTATTACAGGAAAATGTGGCAATATATTACTTCTGGAAGAAGGATATTAGGGGGGTCCCTTTAGTGTAGAGCTCATACTACGAAAAGTAATGTGTCAACATATAATTTTTTTTAGCTTATTCTTTTTCTTAAATATCATTTAGTAAAAATAATGCAAATTTACGAAGTTTGAGTCCATAATTTTTTTTTAATGGCCGAGATTGAACTGTGAAGCATATTTTCTCATATTAAATTTTGATACGTTAGCCTAACAAAGTGCATCTATTTATAATAATTCATGCAAAACAATGATTATATATTGTTTACTAACATTTTTCTACTTTATTTTGGGTATTAAAGTTGAATAATTAGACTTTAATTCATTTATATACAACAAAATCTAGGACAGGTAAATTTTCAATATTTTACATTTCGGGGTATATACTCCGATAGGCAATAGCGGAAAAGTTAACACGTTGACATATATTTTTTCTTGCGTCTATCCATTGCTCGGATGTATGACTATCTTATGAAAGTAGATTTTTTAAGATTGAGCCCATTTAGTGCCGAGTGTAGAACTACCTTAAGGCATATAACCATAAGCCTTCTGCCAAAATCATAAGGTTTGGCAGCTCCGTTGAATAACTAAGTTTAAAATCTTTATATTCCTTTATGGTAAAAATGAAAGCCATCTGTCCCAATGACACTCTCTGACAAAAATAATGGCAAATAACAACAATGGTATTAGCTCAGTTGAGCTTGTTTTTACTAGGCTAGTAATGATGCACAGTTTACCCCTTTTTGAGGCCATAGTTTCCCCTGGTCTTTTACCCCCTCCGTCTCTCAGACTTGGAGGAACATATTTTCCCGATGTTTTGGGGGCCGCTGCAGCAGGTGCCTGGCTTTGTACTGGTCCTCCCGGTGTCTCCCCCACTGGAGGCTTCTCTCCATCCTGAAGCTTCTCCTGTGGTACAGAAAAACCAAAGACTCCCATCAGAAATTCGTTCTAAATATTTTTGAAGATTCTTCTGCTTCTTTTTTTTCTCTCTTATTTTAGCATTGCATTGGGGTTCCTTACAATTTTGAAACATTACAGTGATAAACACAGAAGCATTACCTGAAGAGGTCCCAGTGTATCCTTATACGGACATTTTGTGGTCCAGTGGTCGCCTTTACAGATACGACAGGAGACCAGTTTCTGGCTTTTCAACTTCAGTAATGGGTCCTCTTCTTGTTCCACTGTCTCCTAAAAAGAAGAAAAATACAATTTGTTTCTTTCAACTGCATTATTTATGTACCTGTGTGTGAAAATTTCCCCATCAGGGTCGATATGTAGTTTTTCTTTTGTGGTCTCAGACGTTGTGCGTTTATTCCATCTTTTATGTACATATTTTCATGTTTGTTAATAATGTATTGTCTTGTATATTTTACTTTCTCCTGATGGGAAAAAGTATGTAAATTCAATAATTTTATTGCGAGCAAGTAATTTCATTGCAATGTAAGATGTACAGTGAGACCTCTACGGCCAAATACTTTCAATTGTCAGGAGGCCTGCAGCTCATATAGGGGTTGTAGTGACAGAAGTGATGAAAGAGAAATATGGTGGACAATGCCTTTTATAAGCTGTGTTCAGCTGTAAGTCTGTAGATTTACAGATATTAAAGTTATTACATCTGACACTTGATGGATAGACAGACCTGGTGATTACTTAATAGCACTTACATTTTAATGAAATTCAGTGACGAATTCACATGATCTAAAATATCATGTTGAAACAGCTAAATATAAGGATATGCTAGACAGGGTAAAAGTTCATTTACTGACCTCCTTATTATGGACAAATTGCATGTTAATCTCCTCTACTTGTACAATGGTGTTGGCTGGATTGGGTCCAGGGGGATCTCTCTCTGCTGCCCCAAACTTTCTCCAGGTCTGTAACACAAAAGTTGCCCAATCTTTGAATTTGCTTATTTACATTATAATCAAATAATTTCCATACAACATAAATTTACAATTGAGAATATTAGACAAGTTAATGAAGTTTGTGTACAAACATAAAATGAAAATTACCTTTCTTTTTGCAATGCTTTTAGGTACCTTTCGCTTTTCAACTTTGTATGTTTTAAGAACCTACAAGAGGGGAAAAACTGATTTAAACATACATGGACAGTACAAGTTCATTAAATTATATAGGTTCAATAATACTGATTTAACAATTAAACAACAAAACTTTTAAATTTGTATCTTCATGCCATCAGATCACAGATACAAAGTAAACAATGCCTGACTCACCTTGACCATTTTGCCATCATCATTATACTTGAATTCTGTGATTACTTTTATGCCTTTCTCATCATCATACTGCTCTGAAGATGGTGGTAAGACTCCTGTACAAAATGATAAATATTATAATCTAGTCCACCAAGAATTCTACCAGACTGAAATCTTGGAATTTCTGTGACAACTCATACTCCATACCTTGTAGCTGCAGAACTGTAGCTCTCCAAAAAAATATATATTGACAGACCAGAGAGCTACAGTGCCACCCATTGAAAAAATTGTATATTTATGTTTCTCGATTTATTTCTCCAGGTTTTTTTAAAACTGTCATATCAAAATATTACTATCCTTGAGTTTCTTACATATTCTTTCACTACTTCCACAACAAAACATTCCTTATAATCATTTTTAACGGCCATCCTGGCTGTTAAATTGAGATCATTGAAAATTTTGCTTATTTATACTGCCATTCATCTTCGCTAGCCAAGGGTTTCTGATACGCTACTCTCCTCATAAACCCTTGGCATACGGTGAAGTCAAAAGACGGGATTGTTTTCGTCACGTGATCTTGAATCTATCAGGTACTCACAGATTGCGTCATCGACAGAAATAAAGACGCATGTTTAAAAAAATTTAAAGTTTTTTCAAGAATAATTTAGAAGCAATAATTGAGTAATGTTTATTTATTATTTATAGTACAAATCGGAAGCTTCAATATAGATTCTTAATCACATATTTAGAAGATATTGGATGACACCATAGCTATTTATAGAATTGCATGTTATCTTACGGATCGTTGTTTACTTGCGTTTTTCAATTCCGAGGTTAAAGAGTCAAGAAGTATCCCGAATGCAAATATCGTCATTTACAAAAAACAATTGATGATTGGTCGACAGGTGTGTACTGAAATCCAATCAGAACTCTGGAAAAAAATCCCGATTTTTATGAACACCGTAGGCCAAGGGTTTATGAGGAGAGTAGCGTATCAGAAACCTTTGGCTAGCGAAGATGACTGCCATTTTGGTTTGCTAGATAATTTTGGGCCAATGCACTTTGTACAGATGTAAACTATGAAAGTAATAGATAGAGGAGTAAGGACCTTTTTTGAAATATAGCTTTTTTGCAATTGAGGTAAGTATTTGGAAGAATTAATCCAGAATCGAGGCAGCACACTTTTTGTGCACAATAAATATACAGTTTTTCCAATGGCTGGCATTGTAGCTCTCTGGTCTATCAATATACATTTTTTCGGAGAGCTACAGTTCTGCAGCTACATACCCAGTGATTGTGCTAAATTTTAAAGGCGTTAATTTATGCACATGTACAGTATTCACCGGGCCGGGGAAATTGTTTCCTGGGGGTAGGGGTCACGTAAAGTGTTGGAGATTTTATGAGATTATTTCACTCAAAAAACAATGTATAATTAAATAAGAAAATCACAAAATTAACCTAGATCTATGTCAAATAATTAAAATGCATATGCCAGATAGCACTGAAAACCGCTCAATATGTTGGCTTACCATCTTCCACTTGCTCCACCTGTTCTGCCCAACTTATTGGTTTACTGAAATATAAGAAAGATATAACATTAACATAGTGTTTACACTATTCAAAACAAAATAATTATGGAGTTTTGGTATGAAAATTGACTAAAAATTCGTACTCGTCAATGGAAGGCATGCTTGATGATGACTTCCGGGTATAGATTGGTTAAATTGTACGTTGATGCATGTTGAGTATTTTCCAAAGATCTATGCCACTAAACAACTTACTTTTGTTTAAAATATACTTTTTACAATTCATATTATTTAAACAAATAAACAAACAAATAAATAAATTTATATTTATGACATAAATGATTCTTCCGAAATATTAATCTTTGAGTTATCATTTTTAATGCAAGATGGCAGCCCCCATACAACATTTTTCATTACAGGATTGTAGAAGTATGTGGAAGTTGTGGATTTTATATTTTTAAATGCTGTCCTTTGATGTAACAAACATGATATAACACACATGATATCAGTTAAGAGATATACACAAATGTCGGCAATAGAACAGATGGGCAATCTTATCTTTGGAACTCCACACATCACATGCAAAGTTGAAAACAATATCTACATTGTATTTTTTGTTTCTGTTGTAAACATTTTCCATCACATTGAATAATAGTAACTCAATAATGTCATATAGCAAAGTACAAGGAGTATGGCTGTCAAAAGTATTTCAGTCATTTACGTTCTCTTAGTCTGAAAAGGCCAGGTAAAATTAATCTTTAGATTCTCATCCTAATTTGCTAAAAAATTGGGACGGGTGGGCGGATTTTATTTTTTTATTTTTTCTAATTGTTAAATTATAAGTAACAACAAAACATGGACGCCTTGTACACATTTTTTTCATTATGTTAATGCAAATATGAATAGATTTAATTCTTTTCATATTCTTTTAAATATTTAAAGAAAATTCTTGCTTTAAAAATTTAATATTTATTGTTAATGAACAAATTATCAAGTACACATTATACGGCACACCCTGAACAAAATGAGATGGGAATACCAATAAATTGTATATGTGTGACTTCTTATTTTGTAAAATCTATATATTAAATGTTCTAATAATTATTGTACTGAAAAATCTAGGCCTTCTCTAAAGTCTGTCTATGATGTTGTTGGGTTTTTTTTTTTCAAAGCAAAACCACACACAGCTGGAGATCGTTATATATAACTTGACCAGGTGTCAGACCTGTTTACTCTTACGATTTCGCCGTATTTTGTACGGATTTTTAGTCCAAAATACGACTCACGTTTTGCTTTTATGAAAATACGGAAATAAAAAGTACACTTGTTTAGAATTGGGTAGGAAGTTTTCCTTACGATTTGTCTTAGTTTCACACTTCTTAATCGATAGAAAAAGATTTCAAACACAGAAGATATGTCGGTTTGCCAAAAAGCTGTGGTATATAATGACCAAGAACACGTTATTAAACCATGTTTTAGTAATCAAAAAGCAATTGTTCTCCATTAATATACGTAAAATCGATAGAAAATGAAATCTTACTGGCAAATGCCAAATCTCACGTGCAAATCTAATCAAAAGTACTGAGAGACAACGATTTGGGTAAACAGGTCTGAGGTGTCATTTTCCTCGTCTATTTTTACTTAGTTACAATCTCTCTAAAAACTTGCTCCTGCCAGTGATGGTATCTAGATGTGTTTTTCTTCTCTGCCTTCTCTATACTGACAAATTATCTTTTCCTTGTATATTTGCTTTTGTTGCCGATTTTTCTCCATTCTTCACATTGCTCTTTTCATATAAATAGCGACACGGGTCTTTTAATACAGACGGGAGATAACTCTTAAACTTTGACTTTGCTGAATAAAAATACATGAAAATACCTTATTAACACCCAAAATCAAAATAAAAAACATCGGGGCTGGACACTTTGAGAGGGGTGGGCGGGGATGAGAATCTAAAGATCAATTTTACTGGTATATGGCCAAAATGTGTAGATCAGTAGATGGACGATATGTTATCCAAAATACTGTCACTCTCTTTTACAATGCAATAATCTATACACCTGACACCTTGAGGTCTCAGGTGACCACCCACTTGCTACAAAGAACTATTTTTTAATCTATTAACTTTTGAATTTTCAATTTTGGCATATCATGCCCAGTTGCACACCACGCATACCACCTGTCAAAATAATCAATACGATGATTGTCCTGGGCAGTGCTTGGCAGAACTAGAACAAAACCAAGTACATATGACATGCTTATCATTGTTGTCCTTTTTGTATGTAATTTGTGTCAAAACATTGCTAGTTGGCCAGAAAAAATGTTTCAGAATCACACTACAATATGTTATGTGCATGATAAATGTTTCAAATTGTCAGATTTTTAACAAGATGCACATGCAATATTCAGAATTCTGACTGGTAAAATGTTAAGATTTAACTACAGTGTGAAATTGTCATTGAGGGAGCTCAGTGTTCTTAGATTTTGCCAGTCACCATTACTCACAAAATTACATCACCACCATTATTATTTTGTCACATATTGATGCATTCAAACTACAAATGTACTTGTAAACAAGTAACTTTTAAAGTGATGTCATCATGGATGCATTAAATTTTGCATGCCCACAAATTAAAGTGATTCCACAATATGCAGTTGTGTCCTAATCATTTGTTGTTAAAGTGAATTTACCTTTACATGTCAGTTAATACATGTACATAGAAAGGTAAAATCAAGTTCATGAATGAAAATATTTTTGTGTGTTTATGAGCTAACAAAATACCCAGTATGGGTATCATAGTTTCACCTCTTATAGACTGAAGTATGAGAAGAAAGAATCTTTTTTCAAACTAAGTTGGAAACTATTCCATTCATGAAAAAAAAATCTTTGGTATTCAAAACTTTCATATATACTTTTTTTTTCATACTGGTATCATTAAAATTGACTGTTTTTCGTTATTTTTCAGATGCTTTAAGTGACATTTTAGATGCCTTCAAAGAGGGAGATAACTTTCAGAGATTAGAGGAAGCGAAGGTTGCTGCAGGAAATGATATGCTGCGATGTATGCAGATTGTTTTCCCAGTGGCCACAAACATTCAGATGGAAGTTATAGAAAGATATGGGTTCCCAGCGGATGGAGAAGGTATTGGTTCTTGTTTGAACAAGTTCAATTGATTTTTTTACTTCACAGTTGTATTCATCATTTCATCGACATTGTTAATTGATACAGTTGTTCCTTATTCTATGTCTGTATACCAGAACATACCAGAACATGTTCATGTAGCATTTACAGATAACTGTTAATCACTTCAGTTTTGAGTTATTTGTTTTACATTGATAAGGGAGACAATTAATTTATGTAGCTTTTTTTTGTATTTTAAGGGGAGACAATAATTTTGATTTAGATGTTTGGTATTTATAAATGAGACAAATTTTTCACAAATTCTGGTTGCTGTTGTACCCGTATATCATCATTAGTGGTAAAAATAAATGCAAGAATTCTCACAAGACATTCCTAAGCTTTTAACTTGACTACTGTACAATAAGTGAACAGCAGGATAATTGTAGAGATTATTTGTACTTAACTCCTTCGTTACTTTACTTGTAATCTTAAGATCACTGTAAAAAAAAACTATCGATTGAAAAATTATGTCTACATATTAAAAGATTTTATGAAACTTCAACAAGGAAGTCCGCCATAGCACTTTAAATCAATGAATGAGTATTTACATAATCTATGCTTTCTCTTCCCAGTGAAATAATGCTACTGACAATAATTTTTCTCATGTATGTAAATGGTTATAATTATGTTTTATTAGGTATAATCCGATTTACCCAAGCAGTAAAAATGTATGAAAAACAGGATGAGGAGATCCAGCAGCTGAACCATGCCTTGAAAACACTTCTAATTCCCACCGTTACAGTTATACCCAGTGGACCAGAACAGCACAATGGCTCATGACCAGCTTCTCACAGAGGCTGTGCCATTAGAAGTGGTGTTCTCAACTTTTTCATGCCACAATCCCAAAAGATTCCATTGGAACTTGTCTGAACTATTTTTAATACCTTATACATGTACCTATGTATGTACGGTAATTTTATTGTATTATTCACCATGTGAACAACATTTTCTGTGAAAAATGCCTATTATACAACATACGCCCCGGTATATATTATATATATTAGGGTAACAAACACCCCAAGGAAAACCATTGTCAACCGACATAGCAATTGTAAAGCACCATTTATTTTATTATACTGAATGACAGCAAAAAAAACCGTCGATCGTCTTTACGTTCATGTATAGAAAGCTTTAAATCACACTCACCGGTTCACTAATCTCCTTATTGTTTGTTTGATACTCGAATTTGAGTCATTTATCATATAAAGTTTCGTTATTTCTGGCTCGCAAGCATGTTTCCTACACTCGCAAGCATGTATCGTCTGTCGTTTGTTGTTTTCAAGTAAGCTATATCGGACGCAAGCTTTTATTGACGTCAAGTTAATTCCGGTTCTTTCAAACGCGCAACTGACGTTTTGAGAATTCTACGGTGAACCGTACGCGCATAATTTCCACGCATGCGGCATTACCGTTGTGTTACCCGTTGTCACGTGTGTTGCTAAGGCTCAGGGTAATCGAACGGATTGTTACCTACGTCTAAACCAATCAGATTTTAGTATTTAACATGAAAGTATAATAATTACAAATATTACATAGCAATTGTAAAGTGACATACATTACATGTATCTGATCCAATGTACATGAATATTTCAATTATGAAGTGAAATGAATTTATACAATGTATTTTACCCAATATACTGTCGATCACTTAATTTTCGCGTCACCTTATTTTCGCGAGATAGTCATTGATTATTTATTAGCGAGGCAAAATTTTCACGAATTGTGGTCATTGCTCTATATAATCTTAAGGAATTCTATTATATGCGAGAATGAAATTTTCGCGAGAATACCGTCTCGCGTAATTGTGCGAAAATAAAGTCCTCGCGAATAAAAAGTGATTTAAAGTACATGTTAGATGCTATTTTTAATTGCCATTTCATTGAGATCATTTTGACACAAATACCTGACCAGTACAATTTATACGAGGGTTGATCCAAAAGTTCGTGGAATTTCTTAATATTTCATTCATTTATAAGTGAAATTGGTTGAAAATTACAAATGAGAATAAAGACACTTATTGAATATTTTAAATTAAAAAATGTTTTAAATATTTGTGATAGTAACTCTATGGCAGTTGCCATAGAAACGGATGTTTGGAAATGCGGGAGAGACATCTACGCGTTTATTATCATTTTAATTCTTAATACTTGAAATGAGAATTAAACCGCTCTTCGTGTTATAGAAAACGAAAATTATGTCATTATTACGATTGCTTCATCTTTTATAAAACTTTGTGTGTGTATTTTACTGATTTTACTGGATATTTTGTTTATTAGTTGATAATTTATTGTTCATCTTAAGGTTGTTAAACAGACGTCAAATTTCGGTCAAGTCATAAGTTTTGTGAAAATACCGGAATCACTCTATCTTAAATGCGTATATTATTGACATAGACTGAGGAAAAATGCATTTAGCCACTGGTTTTCCAGTGGCGTAAGAAAATGAAGAAAAATAGAACCTTCATGGACGTTGATTAAAGGTGTGGCTGCCTTTTTGAGGCTCTTTTTTAAGTGTCGTCCCCCTTGATAAATTGAAAGCATTATTATACGTTGTCGACTGACGTACTGTTCTTGACATTGCTACTGAAATCGGAACATCATATGGAAAGATGGGGGGTATTTTGAAATATGAGTAAAAAATGAGGATAATTTGGTGCGAGGGCATACCCAGGCTTTTCTTGAGAAAAAAAAATGGAGAAAAGGGCAGCATTTTGAAGAATTATGTGTTCGAATTTGACATTAGGGTGAGATGATTCTATAACGTGACGTGACATACCTAACTTGACGTTACGTCGAAGTCTCCCCCGGGTTTCACAACCATCCATTTTCAGAAAGCTCTTGTGACCTTATTGGTAATTGGAACGTGGTGAAATTTTCCAGTATTGTTGCATTATGACTCTATTTTATAAATATGCCTATTGTTTGCTTTTGTCAAATCATGATAAAATTTTAAAAAGAAATTCCACGAACTTTTGGATCAACCCTCGTATATGTTATTGAGAGAGAGAGGGAGAGAGAGAGAGTATGACTGACATTTGTTTTTGATTTTAAACATGAAAACAATATAGATTTCAGTGTTTCAAAATTTGAAAAAATATAAAATAGTCATTTTATGTACAGACAGATTTGTACCAACATGTTTTTCTTGCAAATTTGAAAAGAAAATGATGGCACCCATCATTTTAAATGTTCATTTTTGAATGTACTGTCAGAGCATTTTGATTACCCAGGTGTTGCCCTTTATGTTCTGTATAAGTATTTATTATGGGCAAAAATACCTTCATTTAAGAAATGAAACTTTTTAAATGTTCATATTTGAGCGGTTTATGCACTGTCAGTTGAAATTAGCTTCATTCCTTATAATTTAATTTGTATAGACAATAAGACAATTTTTCCCCAGAATAAGGCTTCAAATTGTGCATTATTTTAAAAGTAACATCAAGCTTTATACGTAATTCATTGTGTATATGTTATCCAAAATATTATATGTTCCTCTGAATGATTCAGCCAATGAAATAGCTTGATACACGTGAAATTAAATTATTTCAATTGAATGTTACATTAATTAAACTGTTACTTTGATATCATACATGTATAAAACAAGGTTGTTTAATATTTTTTAGCACATGTACATGCATTTTTGTTGCAATATGAAGTATTCATAACCATAGTATGTAGTGGAATGTATTTATGTGTGTAGATTCATGATTAAAGATCTCAAACTTTAGGAAATTGTGTATTAAAAAGAATCATATTTGTTCCTTTGAATGGATTTAAACCTGGTAGCTCTGGCATGCCAGTGCGCTGTCTACCTACTCCTACAAGTAAGAGCCTCGGTTAACTTCCCTATGCTCCTTATATACGCGGCGCCAAGTCAAAAGTATCTCGCCGTGAACCTCTAGCATGCTGGAGTAGCTGTCTACCAATCATGCTGAAGGCTCGATCCGCTAGCCCAAATTAGTAGGATGCCATATGTCCAACACTATCATACTGTCCCACTCCTTCTGGGTAGAAATGTCCTCATCTCTTTTAGAGTGCTGATGCCTACGTGGTGAAGTTCTTGGGAGAATCACTTTCATCCACCAGATAAAAATAGGATCCCTACAAGGATGCCAAATGGCAGTTCCATTATGAATTTTAATATGTTGATTGAATTTTTTTTAATGCTAGCTGTTGTCATATCATCCCAAATTTTCAGGTGACCTATTGCTAGCAGTTTTTGTTTGTCATCATTTGTGAAAATTGTGAAGTTCAACATTTTCAATTTCTCTGTAACTGCTTGTTGAACCACATGGTATTTACCCATTAATGGCAAAGGGGAACAAACATTGTGAATTTCATGCTCTCTGCCCCACTGGGGCATGATGGATGGGATGAAAACCATCAGAATCTTCTTCTTTACCCCTGGACATCAAGCAAACAAACTTGGCATGATGATATGCTCTCTATCAAGATTATGAAAGAATGGAGGCATACACGGCAAGGATAATACCTCACTCATGAAAAGTTACATTTTTCAAAAATTGTATTTTCAATTTCACTTCCTTTATTTTACTGAATAGCTTACTAGTATTTAGAAATAATTTATTTTTTACATTATATTTTTTTAAGGTATATGGGAAAGATGAAAAAAAAAGCTCTATATGGGATTTTAACCTGCGCACCAAATAAACATGGTGCACTACTATGTACACCATTAAGTTTCTCGGTGCGATTTCAATGAACAAGTGTTTATTGATGCATAAAATTGTCACAAATGTTAAATTCTGAATTTTTAAAAAATAATGGAACTTTCCTGTCAAAGAAAGAGTGCACATGCGTACAAGGCATGGACAATCCCCTGCTCTGAGATAATATTATGTTTCTCAATTTTCAAAATTCAAAGGAAAGTTATATTTTTCTAAAATCATGTTCTCAGTAATGTCGTCTTCAAAACATTTCATTTTATTTTGCTGAACGACTTATCATTTGACAATCTTTTTTTCAAAGTTGAGAGTTTAGTATATTTAGTCAAAAATTGGTTTACTAGAGCCATAAAAATGAATTTTGAACATGAATTGGTCAAGTCTCCATTCTTCGTTAATGCTTAAATGATGGAATTTTCAAATGTAAATGTGAAATCTATTTCATTTGTCCAAGAAATGGAATTCTATATGAAAATGGAATATTTCTGGAAAAACTAAATTACACTGACAGACATCGATAATGCATCAACTTCGTAGAGTAGTGGCGAACGCAGTCTGTCTTGCACCAAACCCTGTGCTTTGGAGAGAGTTCAAACCATGCGTGAAGCTTTCTTTTTTGTTTTCACATATTTTAAAACATGTCAATGACTGAAAAATAAATTATTAAAACAATGAAATACAGAATTAAATGTGTGAAAGATTATATAAACCATATTATTTTGAAAAATACATGTATAGTTTTCAAGAACTTTAAGAATTGAGAAAAGTCTTTTCTCAGTACAGTGGGGTATTGTCCTTGCCTGGTACGCCTCCCTTCTTAAAAGTTAATGTATACTAGACTACATGTCTTGGAATAAAACTTCACCCATTCATATTCAAAATTCATTTTTTTTTTATGGCTCAGAAAATCCCATTTTCCACTGTAACTAGGCCTGGAGTAGTATTTTGAAAACATTTCAAAGAAATTTCCATTATTAGTAACTATGGCAATGCCATTCATCGAAATCGAAAATCGCTATACATAATTATGCATCTTAGTGTCATCTGCTTGTGTGCCAATTTATATATTGACATTAGACCAAAACTGTAGGGGGGAGGGGAAATGTTCACAGACAAACACCTTACTATTGCATGAGCTCTTCTGGTCTTTAACCAGTGGAGTTAAAAATTACCGGTACTGCAAATTAACATGATAAGGCATTATTTCAAATTCTGCAAAGATTACAAAAGATATAAAATTTTATGTATTTTATTTAACATCCATCATATACATGTATCCATTAACAAAAACATATTTACACGTATAAATGGATTTCATCCATCACACCTTGTTCAAAATTTACATTTACTCTCAAAGTTCAGTCGCATAACACAACATTCACACACTGCTGTCAATAAATAACATTAAACTTTCAGTTTCTGTGATGCAACTTGCAAGTAGTTTGGCAGCATAATCATTCAGCATTACCAATTTCCTTTTCAACACTCTTCACACCATGGTCATGAGGAAATGGCAGCATTTTCACAACTTATACACATCAAAACTCAAAACTTTCTACAAGATCTGTTGTGAAATTCACAGTAAATGATTCGTTAAAAAAATAATTATGCTACATGATGTATTCACCAACACAAGCACACTTCTGGAGGGTAACAGTTGCCTCCGATTTACAAGACAAAACGATGTCAAATGTACACACAGTTAACATTTCCTACTGAATTTAGCACTTGCATGAAAAAAATAATTTTTAAGGAAAAAAAAATTTTCAGAGACCATCAAATGATAATGAAAAATGGAGATAAAAAATGGAAAGTGTCCAGATAACCTAATGATAAACTGTTTTTATAACTCGTCCTTTTCGTCGGCCCCCTCTTCTCCTGATGGGGGAGGGGCACCACCAGCTCCCTGGTAAAGTTTGCTCATTATAGGCTGCACAACTTCTTCCAGTTCTTTCTTTTGTGCTTTTAAGTCTTCTACATCAGCATCAGAATTAGATTCCATCCACTTAATTTTCTCATCAACAGCTTCTTCAATTGTCTTTTTATCTTCATCACTCAATTTACCTCCTAGTTTTTCTTTATCTCCTATTTGATTCTTAAGAGAATATGCGTAGCTTTCTAGTTCATTCTTGGCGTCTACTTTTTCCTTGACTTTCTTGTCTTCATCAGCAAACTTCTCAGCATCATTTATCATACGTTCAATATCTTCTGGTGACAGTCTGTTGTTATCGTTCTGGATGACAATGTGGTTCTTGCTTCCTGTTCCCTTGTCCTCAGCTGTAACCTTTAAGATACCGTTAACATCGATCTCGAATGTGACCTCAATCTGTGGGACACCTCGTGGTGCTGGTGGAATTCCAGTCAAGTCAAATTTTCCGAGTAAATGGTTGTCCTTGGTCATTGGACGTTCTCCCTCAAAGACTTGGATGGTAACGGTTGGCTGATTGTCAGCAGCTGTTGAAAAGATCTGAGATTTCTTGGTGGGGATGACAGTGTTACGAGGGATAAGCTTGGTCATGACTCCTCCAACAGTCTCGATACCCATAGTCAAGGGGTTAACGTCCAACAGCAAAAGATCACCTGTGTCCTCTTCTCCACTCAACACACCAGCCTGTACAGCAGCGCCATAAGCAACAGCCTCATCAGGGTTTACTCCTCGGTTAGGTTCCTTAAATGAAGGAAAGATAAAATTTAGCTTTTATATAAAAGTAACTTCTCAGTTGACTGTTAATATCAACTCGTCCTTATTTGTGGAATCTAAAAAAATACACATTTAAGAATATTGAAGACAAACTTGAAATACTGGATAAAACATTACTTACTTTTCCGTTGAAAAAGTCTTTGACCAGCTGCTGGATTTTGGGAATTCTAGTGGAACCTCCGACCAGGACAATTTCGTCAATGTCTTCCTTCTTCAGGTCAGCATCCTCCAAGACTTGTTTCACTGGTTTCATTGTAGATCTGAATAAGTCCTGTCCAAAACAACAACATTGTGTTAAAATATATTTTACCAAAAGTTTAGACACAAAACTTTTCCGTTGAAACATTTTCAATATGTAAAATAAATTCTTCGGGACCTACCATGTTGAGCTCCTCAAATCTAGCACGAGTGATTGTTTCTGAGAAGTCTTCTCCATCAAAGAGAGATTCAATTTCAATCTTGGCCTGATGCTGTGAAGACAGGGCTCTCTTGGCTTTCTCAACTTCACGACGGAGTTTCTGAACAGCACGGTTGTCTTTCCTGATTAATACAAGTAAGAAAAAAAGTTGTAAACAATATAACATTAATCCAAAACAATATGCTTGAGGTTAATCCAACAGATTTTTGTGTTTTCATTAAATCCTTTTCAGTTACCTGATGTCTTTTCCCTTCTTCTTCTTGTACAGTTTAATGAAGTGTTCCATTACTCTCTGATCGAAGTCCTCTCCTCCCAGATGAGTGTCACCATTTGTTGCCACGACTTCAAAGACACCATTATCAATGGTGAGCAGAGACACATCAAAAGTACCACCACCAAGATCAAAGACCAGAATGTTCTTCTCTCCCTCTTTCTTGTCAAGTCCATAAGCAATAGCAGCAGCAGTTCTAAAATTAAATATAGAATTGATTACACCTTAAATAAAACAATAAAATACTTCCATCCAAACATTCAATAATAAAATACCTTGTTTCCACAGCCCAAATAAGAGAACTTACGGTTCATTGATGATTCTCATGACGTTGAGACCAGCAATGGTGCCAGCATCCTTTGTGGCCTGACGCTGAGCATCGTTGAAGTAAGCAGGGACAGTGATGACAGCGTTGTTGACCTTTTTACCCAAGAATCCCTCAGCAATCTCCCTCATCTTTCCGAGAACCATAGCAGAGACTTCCTCAGGGGCAAACAGCTTGTCTTCACCGGAAACTTTCACGCTGATGTGAGGTTTGCCATTCTTATTGATGACTTTAAAAGGATAGTACTGAATATCCTTCTGAACGGACTTGTCGTCCCAAGTGCGACCAATGAGACGCTTGACATCAAAGATGGTATTCTCAGGATTTGAAGTCAGCTGGTTCTTGGCAGCATCTCCAATCAGACGCTCATTATCTGCTGTGAAAGCAACATAAGAGGGGGTGATTCGATTTCCTTGGTCATTGGCAATGATCTCAACACGGCCATTTTTGAACACTCCAACACTGTAAATAAACGAGCAAATTGTTATATTATGCTTCAAATATTTATTCTACTCCTTTTCTCCACATTTGTTTTGTAAATATCTGTTTCCAATTTAAAGACCAAGATATAAATGATATTCTGATCAATGATCAAGCAATGATCCCCATAACTTACCATGAATATGTTGTTCCGAGATCAATACCAATCACAGTTCCTACACTGTCTTTGTCTTTCTTCTTTTCTCCTTCATCATCAGCCCTTGACAACGTAACCAACAAAATGGCTATCCCCAAAAACACCAATTTCTTCATTTCTAAAACAAAATGTCACCATTAAATCCCTCGCAAGTCAGAAAAACTTGTGGACAATCAAAATACTTCTACCTTTCAAGATCAGCGATTTTGTATATATTTATGCTAGGTTTTACTAATCCTCCTTTATTCATTCACCCAACACATTCTAATTTGGTTAGAACTAATAAGGCACAATGTTGGATTCAAGGGTTGCAATGATTCCATTTTTAATAAGCTGAAAAAAAATTATGCTTAAAGTCAAGTGAAATATTACAAAATCTTGAACTGAGAATCATATATACATGTATTTAATCTGAATTAAGTTCCCCCTCTAAGTTTTTCTTTAATAAAATTTAGATATTTCATGAAAGTTCTGTTTGTCATGTTTAGGGTCTTGGGGTCTCCACTACCTAGAACTCAACATCCAGTGTGGCAACTTCTACTTTAAAAAATAACTAAGGTGAAGTCCACAGCAAAAAATTTAATTAAATATGTTTAGGTAGTTCATATGGGGTCCAGTTAAGATGCATATGGCATGAGTTGAAGCAGGCCTACCCAACCTAAGTTCACCAATAATTTAACAGTTAATCTTCTATCAACCTTAACGTTTTTAACATTTTCATTGAAATATGCCTATAAGATATGTCAATAATTCAACTAAAATGTATTCTCCTATGCCTCAATACATTTTCAGTTGACAATTCACAGCTGAGAAAATGCCGGCAAAATGCCGGTAGTAACATGTTCGCTATCTAGGCCCTATCTGAATTACTTACAAACTGATATATATCTAAATTTTTGATTACTTACTGTCTATTTTAATTTAAGTTCGTTCTTTTCTCGGTTTCCTCCAAACTTCGACTTATATCTTTTCCACCTGTCAAACAGAATGCCAAATACTTACACGCGTGTACTTTCTTCTTACAGCACTACCAGTCGTGTCGAATTTTCATTGGCTACCGTAATGTTCACTATGAAATTTCATTGGATAAACTTAACATACTCCCATTCATATCTCAAGGACACGTATAACTTCGACAAACTACGTAAATCAAGAATATCGAGAATTGCCGAGAACAATCGAGAATTTAAAATTTCATCAGCAAAAACTGTTTACATATGATTTCAAAGAATCATGTCCAAGTTTCATTACGTAATTGTTATAGCTTATCTAATTTTATTCTACATTAAAACTTGTCTTTACTTTCTTAGTTCGTTGTACGTTGTTGATTTCGTATTTAAGTGCAAAATGTTCCAGAAAAATTACTGTGCATCAAGTTTCATTATAATAATGAATTATTTTTTGCAATACGTTTGTAAAAAAAAATATTTGTGTGCTTTCTGAAGACTTCATATGAAAATAAAACATGTTTACGTATTTATTCTATAGTACGCCTTAATCTAAATAAGCAGTTCGTGACTGCGCATGCCTTCCACACGAACACGTGCTCCATTCCAGGAGCCTCACTCCAGACGGGAAGGGTAGGACGAAGATGTATAGATGCAGATATGCATCCTTATCCTTGTCCTGGTGCGTGTAACCGTAAAGTATGTATTCTCTGTACTTTTTTTTTTTTAGGATTTCAATATTTTAGTTGAATGACAATTGGCCACATACCTTTCTTCGAAAGATGAATAGAGCTAGAAACTTATCAATGCATTTTTGGTAGAGCAGAGTTCTTTTAAATGTGAATTGTTGAATATCGGTCCAAACCAATATTTAGACCATATTGATACCCAATAAGGCCTTTTTCAAGTGTTGAAATCTCTTGATTTAGCTATAGATTCAAATGAGCTTAATTAAAATTGTATACAGTGTTACACAAAAAAAGTCAAATAGACAAAGCCACAAGTAGTAGACAGTAGTTCAGTTGGAAAGAGGAAAAAGAATTCCAAAGAGATAGTCTAAGCATTGTTGCTTTTGAACATTAAGCAAAACTTTAAACAGGTTAGGACCACTCGCCCAAATGGGATATAATAGTCCATTTGGGATATAATATCCCAAATGAGCCTTAAATTTACAGTGCAAAAATTGAAATTAAATTCGCAACAGGACACTTAAAAAGGAATAACTTTTGATTGACAAGTTTTGCTGTATGCCCATTGTTTAGGAGATTGATCCCTCGGAAGTTCCGCAACTTCTTGTGGATCAATCTAACAAACAGTAGGGTTGCAGAAAAACTTGCTTACCAAAAGTTATTCCATTTTAAGTGTTTTGATGCGGATTTATGATATTTATTATCAAAATAAAAATTTTCAATTTTTGCACAGTAAATTTATAGCCCATTTGGGATATTATATCCCAAACGGACTATTATATCCCATTTGGGCGATTGGTCCCAACCTGTTAAAGATGTATTTCCATTCAGTGAATTGGTAAGTACACAACCTTGAGTGTGTGTTGAATATAGTGAGTGAGGTAAATCAATATACTCTTATTACATACAGTTTTAATGGTTAATGTTCATGGAAGTAAAAAGACCAGAAGAGTGCAGATGATGAGATCATAGTTCATCAGAAATTAATTGAAGACCACAAAATGTCTTTCGCTTCTAGCTGATGCACTCTAAAATCTGAAAAGGGCATCCCATTTCACTGACATTACATATTCTGTTTAGAAAGATATATGAATCATTTCAGGGCCCAGTGAATGCAATTGTCATTTGAATTGATGATTGGACAACATTACCAGAATTTGAAGAAAGTAGGGTAAGAATGGTATTTCTTTAAAATAAAAAGTGTATTCCAGTGCTTTCCGTAAGAACCGGCCACCGGCCAAATTGACCACTGCAAATGACAAAAATGCCATTTTGAAATAAAAATTTATAGTCAGGTCCACAGATTCTGTTCATAAACCTCAGCCCCTAGTTTGTTGCAATTTTTCTCTAGCCCTTTACTTTGTAATAATGGGAAAACACTGGTAGTCATTTAGAAATTAAAAATTCAAAGCTATTTTTGATGTATCTTGGTATTCTTGATGTATAAAATTGTAATAAAAATCATGGTTGAACTTTGTTGAGCCAGTTTTATTTTTGATGAAAAAGTTTGCAAGTTCATTCTCAGAAAGTAATTATTTTGATTTTAAACATGCAGCATCTGTAGATATAGCATAAATATAATGACAGGTAGTGATGATGAAAGCTTTTTCTCCATTCGCGGTTTCCACCAGAGATTTTTCGATGATGGACCAATCCTTCCTTGGATGTCTGAACTACCTGTTGTTAAAATATATATATATATATATTTACCCCTTTTTGATAACATTAACTCTTGTGAAAATAAAATTTATGACAGTTGGTATCTCTGTTATAAAGTTCATTTTCAAGTTTAAAGGGAACAAAATAGATAATTCGTAATTGCTGTTCTGTTTATAATGTATTTTTTTTAAACGTAAGGAAAATCTAGCAAATAGGAGGACCAAGATCACTTGTGACAAAATTTCTTTTATGACTTTCTAATGGACTAATTTCAAATATATATGTTTAACTACAATATTAATGTTCCTTACCACCAGAGTTTTGGGGGTTATGTTAGTTTAATAGATAATCTTAATGTTTAATAATTTTCTAATCTTATACTGTAATCATTGCAGTCTACGCTGAAGTTACCTTCTTCGGTCAGTTTTAATATCGAGTGCCACTGTGGTGGTGTTGGAAGGGAAAGTGGTAAGAATATTCTACCAAAGTGGAAATTTTTTTAACAGTTGTCAAAGGGATGAAAGCTTTACAAATTACTGATTTGTGATGTTTGTATTATTAGCTCTATCTGATTGGCCTCGATGCAGTATTGTCTGAAAAGCAAGCAAACTCTTCAGTGCAGTTAATTAATATCGTGTGAAATTATTTTGCAGGAAAAGGAGAAGAAATTATTCAATCTATAAACAAGGTAATTATTTGAAAAGTTACAAACCAGGAGAATTATTTCTTGAAGTCAATAACATGATTAAGATTTCAGGTAGTGATGATGAAAATTTTTTTCTCCATTCGCGGTTTCCACCAGAGATTTTTCGATGATGGACCAATCCTTCCTTGGATGTCTGAACTACCTGACTTCAAAATCAAATGGAATTTTTTTTTTTACTAGATTTATAGTTATACTATATTAAAATGATCAATAAATGAGTCTGATATAGTGTCAATATATAGCCAGCCATTTAACAGATACAGTAAAAGTTATAACGAAGTCACTGGGACCTATTAAATTACTTCCCTATATCCATGAATTTGCAATGTCCGTGTTCGCACTAACCGAGTTTTACTGTACCCATATTCAAACTTGTATATGAAAAATAATCAATTGATCTGGTTTGAAAAATAAGCAAGGAATACAACATTTTAAAGGGAATGAAACAAATCCTTTCCAATTTAACCTAACAGTGAAAAAATTTTGATTTAGGCATATCATCGGCACACTTAATTATTATCGTACCTTATAAACGATTGCATAATACTTTTTCTTTGCACTATATAACCCATAACCAGCATTGTTTCGCATAGTAATTTACAAAGGATTTATATACGTAAAAAAAACAATTAAAAAAATTAAGATAAGACAGGCTAAATAGCTGGGTATGTGAAACATTTTGACAGAAAATTCAAACACAGTTGAGTAAATAGTTCTTCCGTCGTTCCGACTGTCCTCGATTTCTTTTTTTTTCATCGAGCATGTTCATGATGTTGGTATCTTTATTATCGATGCACAGAGTTTCTTGGACTCATTTTCGAGGCAAAATGTAATTCCCAAATGCATTAATGTTTTTAAAAAATTACGTTTACTATGCAGAATTATCATTCATTGTTACCTGCTAAAAGTGATGAAATCTAGTATTGTTATAAATATATATAAATTTTAAATTGTTTTATTAAGTAATGTGTACTTAAGAAAATAAATATAATTTTACACTTAAGATTAAAAATAAACAAAATAATTCTTCTGCCGGAAATATCTGAAAAAGTTTTCCACAGCTCTGCCTGAACCCATTTTAGTCTACTCATTCTTCATAACTGTTCCATTTGATCTTGAATGTATTGTTACAGTATTAATAATGCACTGAATGATTAAAAATCTTATTGTACTAATAAATGAATGATGAAAAATCTTGTGGGAATCTCTCTGACAATACAATGAAGAGATCAATACAAGTATCTGACACTTGAAACTTCTAGTATATAATAATCAGATGTCTATTCTGTTTCTTTTGCTCATCAATTTGTATGTACATTGTATTGCAGGTTTCGGATAGAATAATGTAAATACTCACCAAAAGAATAAGGACTTGGGCCATCCTTAAAAAATTTATTTTTTGCGGTAACACGCCTCATCATTTTAGATGTGAGTAGGTAGGTAGGCTTTTTTTTTTTGAGACAAAATGTCAGAAATAAATTTCGATTATATAGAGGTATTAAGTATGTCTTAGATTTCACCTTACTAATCAAACAAGAAAATTAAAGCATTCTAAATGAATTCAATCTTTTATTGCTCAAATATCGGAACACATCAGTTCTCTTTAGGCAAACTTTTTCAAAGAAAGTGACTCTCATCAGCCACGTACCTCAAATAACTGACTCCACACTAATCTAGTGTTTCGGGGGTGTGATATATATGAGGTTTAAGATTTTGATAGTTTATTAATTAGCTGCAAATTCATCATCCCACATGGAACTGTTGCCACCAATTTGATATTTTAAACATCATACCATGTATCTGTAAGGTGGAACTGACGCACGATATTTTGGACTAGCAATTAAGATGTTTTTCCTTTCAAATTCACTGTAACTGACAGAACTATAGAGTCAATATTTCCCGCAACCTTCGCCTACGCCATCTCTAAATTTGTAGATCACAAAAACATTTTAATAGTACTTGGGGAAAGATAAAGCGTCGGTGTAACCGAGGCGTAAAAAAAATATATCAATCGGATAAAAACGGCATAAGTGCAATGGAGACGTAAAAAAATATTAATCGGATAAAAACGGAAAATGGATACATAAAAAAAAAAAGATTTTTGAACAGATAAAAAAAAAATCCAGTCGGGTGGTTTTGGACAGAATAATGTAAAAACTCACCAAAAGAATAAGGATGGCCTTGGCTGCTAGCTATTTACACAAAAGGTACTGGTACATTTTTTCCACATGTTGACATGAAAGGTAGAAAAAAACGAATTTATGAAATTTCAAAATAACAATTGCAACTACGTAATATCTAGGTCGTGTAAATTATCATGAAGTCATTGCTGTCTAAAATTGGTACTATAAAGTTGAATGGAATAACCCAATGAAAAGCTTGTAAGGCAGTGATGATGAAAGTTTTTTCTCCATTCGCGGTTTCCACCAGAGATCCGTCGGTGATGGACCAATCCTTCCTTGGATGTCTGAACTGCCTTCTAAAATGATCATAACTTTTAAAACAAAATAGTGAAATAATTTGCATTTCAAGCATGTTTGAGTAGGTCAATCGTATTTTTTCAGAACTGAAAAACCTTTCAAAATGTACTGAAAGAAATCAATTTTATGCTTCAATGCTGTAGAGTACAAACAAGCAAGATATTTACAATTTGGAACAAGACAATAAAATACTTCTACAGATCACTTAAAGTTCTAAGTTAAGAATATCATACTTCCAATTCTTAGTTTTAAGGAATCTGAGAAAAAAAATGAGAAATGTGTATCTGAAATAAAATTGGTGGTAAAGATGAGTTTAATTTATACATATTAGCTTAAGTGATGTTAGGATGGTAGTAAACCTTGATCAATTTTTCTTAACTAATATTTTGGTCAATACAATCATGATTGTCAGCTTAGTAGAAATGTGTTGTACTAGAAGAATTTAAAAGTCACTAGAAAGTGGATAATTGATGTTGCATTTCAACCAATAATAATAATATAGTCAGCTAATCATAAAACATGACCTCATCTATATGTTTTTCAAATGACGATCAGTTACTTATTAGAGTTGAAAGCTGTGTAAGAGTGCATTACACTAAATGTTCAGCACTATAGGGTTTATTCAGACATGCAAGTTCCATAAATACAAGTCTTAAGGTAGGAAATTATGAAAAGTGAAAGATTTTGTGTAAAGTAAATGATGATTAGAACTTTCAGAATTCCTGAAGAGTTATCTGCGGATATCTGATACTGGACACAAAATGCTAGTCAATTGAAAACTGCTTTACCAATACTATATAGATGGATAGCTACTCTTGATTTAAAAACTTTAATTCAGTTTAATATCTACCTCATACTCATTCAAACTACCATAAAATATCTTGACAGCAATTTTGACTATTTTGTAGTCTTATTCAGTTGTTGTATGTGTCAGGGTATAGCTCATTGAAACCAAATTATGCCAAATAAGCCTTTAGATAACATTCTGACTAAGTCCATATCAGTCCTTGTTGAAATAGACATGTATTTAGGGGAGATTATGAAAATGGCACTAAGGTCTGATCATTGTAAACTTGATTATTTGAAGTGAAAAGATTTTGCAAAGATGAAGGATCATTGTAAGAAATTATTAGGACATTTTTCTAGCAAGCATGAATAACATTTTAACCAAAGTTGTAAAACTATAGGATGATCCAAGAATTTTTCATTGTAATATTAATTGTTAAAAAGATGAAAAATCATATGTATAAGATCTGGAGCTGCACAGTACATGATGAATTTGAACTCTCTCACTGATATTGGTGAGGACAACATAATATCTGATCAAACTGTGCATTAATCACATATCTGTAAAATAGTCGGAAAATCAAGATTACTGGCCTTTTCTTTATGAAAATCTCAAAATGTCAAATTAGCAATGCAAATGATTGAGACTGCCTGTCTTACAACAAATAAGTTTACTTAAGGTAAAGCATCTAGAAACAGTAGGAGGATTAGAAGCTACATGTATTTAAGGAAAAAATTCAAAAATTAAGTTTACAAAGACAGATTCTTTGTAATATGTCGATATTTTCAGTATTGGTAGTATTCAAAATTTACCAGACACTTATGTATTAAAATATCCTCTCTTCGACTGAAAAAAAAGGTTTTTTAAATAAAGAAAATGTGTTACATTTGTTGTATTGGAAATGAATTGCGCACAACTTAGGAAATTGATAGTATGTCAAAGTAAATATTCATGTGTATTTTCCCAGTGTAAAGACAAGAGAATAGCCATGAATGCTTTACAAAATTTAAAATATTTTGTAGGAATTAAATGGATGGCCTGCAATGATGAAAAGAAGATTAAAATGTAGAAAGGGACATATGAATCTCTGTGATATTCTCTTCTTTCTGAGACAGGCTATCAATTGTAGGGGACTTCATCCACTTGGTTACTAATTATAAAAGACACATAAATACTAACTGTATAGAGACTGGCCATCAATTGTAGGGACTTCATTCAATTGGTTACTAATTAAAATAGACACATAAATTCTAACTGTATAATTATGTTCAATCAATACATAGGCACATATTGTCTATGAGATGTATCAATAAACTGAACTAGTTATTTGGACTGGATATTGAGTTAATTCACAAAAGAAAACAGGGGGTGATGGATCATAAAATTAATATCTTTTAAATAAATTGACTATGAGATGTATGTCTCTCGACTTCAATAAACTGATAAACTGAACTAGTTATTTGGACTGGATATTGAGTTAATTCACTAGGAAAAAAAGGGGGTGGTGGGTCATAAAATTAATATCTTTTAAATACTGATATGTGTGCTTAAAACTGTTAATTGAAAGTTTTCAATTATGTTGGTACAGTTCTTTTATGTAATTATGGGAAATGATAAATTGGAGCTATAAATAATGTAATGTCTCTTGTGATGCAATTCAATATATTGCTTTGTGGGGTGCTCATTCTTTTGATTGAGATTGTTTTGAATTTGGAACATGTTTTATTATTTCAGAATTGAAGAGGAATCTAATATGTCTTCAACAAAGCCAGAGTTATAGGAATTTAGGAGTCTTGTTGAAATAATGTTTCGGACTTCAAATTTCTTTATCTCTAGCATATATAATCTACTATAAAGAGACACAAGTCATTCCAAGTTAATCCACTTGTACACACGTTATTGTAAGTCTCGGAATACTAACAATCTTGTAGGTAAAATGCAATGAAGGGCCTTTATCCTCCCCTCCACTGGCAAATGTTGGCATCTCCAATAAATTATGGAGACTCCATATGAGTGAAAAATTCTTTAGAGGGATCTTTAAACAACAAACAAAATACAAACTACTAGGAAAAAAGCTATTTTTTCTTGTCTGTGTGTATTGAGTGTGCCAGAATATGAAATATATTGAAGGAATGCATTGCCAAAAAAAAAAAATTTCCAGAACTAGGAAGCTATATTAAGAACTTATGAATCAACATGCTAATTAAAACATGAAATTAAAATATTGAAGAAGAGCACAACAAGATGTGTTTGTGAAACACTGATGCCCACATATGGCAGGTTATGGCAAAGCTTTCAAGTGCAAATCTAAATTCAAAGTCAAGGTCAAAATTGTAATCCAGAGAAAGGAATGCGCAAGTAAAAAAGGAAAACCCTAGTGCTAATTGTTCAAAAGTTATGACCAAGGTTAAATTTTGATTTTTTTTTTCAAAAGTAGACCCAGGTCAAGAGGTCAAATGTGGTGAAACCCAAAGAAAGGTCTTGTCACAAGGAATGCACCTTTGAAATATGAAAGCCACAGCCCCTCCAATTCAAAATTATTGGCAAGTTTAAGTTTTTGCAGACAAACGGACAGACAGAAGTACGGACAGGGAAAAAATTATAACCCCTGAATCTTTGACTACAGGGGCATAAAAGGTTTAATTTTAGTCATATAGTATTCTTTAAAGGATTAAATATATTTCAAGCAGCATAATTTGTATTTTGTTGACTTGATCAATACTGTTATGTTTAATCTGAAGTCGTGGTGATAAACTGCTGCAGTTTCTACATAACAAGAAAATTTAAAAATATCAGCAAGAAAATTGCATGGTAAAGTTTTTATTTTCATCTGAATCATAAAGCATCAACTTTTAACAATATATAAAAACATTACATTGGTATTACTTTTCATGCTTTTCAGAAAGTAAAAAAAAAAAAAAACTAGAGAAAGAAGAAACTATAGAAAATCTATAAAGAAAAAGATGCTTGACAATGAAATTTCTTTGCATGCTTCTCACAGATGAGAAACTTAGGATAAAAACGAATTTCTAGAAAACCTATGTGTACTAGCAATTCTTTTTCAAGTATAATCTTTACTTATTATATGACGGACTACACCTCGAATAA